CATTTACCATTATTAAAAATCTTTTACAATTTATGATGTCTGTGTTTATGAAAAAAAAGTCAATAACAATCACAAACAATTGTTTATAAATTTATTAAAATAATAACAACAGCAAAATAACTAAAATAAGAGAATATTTTTCAGTTAAAATAATAAAGACTTTTTGGTAACGTCAAATATATTGAATTTGATATTTCCTGTTCGATATTGTTCAGAACTAGAATTCTCATTAGACTAGATAATGTTATCTAGGTTATATATTTAAATATCTAAATATATACATTTTAAAGACGTTTTGTTTTTTCTATTTTTTTTTATTAGCATTTTTTTATTCTTTAACTTTTTTTTACCAATTTAATTGATAGTTATTTCTGAAATGTAATCAAAGTTTTATATTACATTTATTAAAAAAAATAATTTAAGTTTTTAAATATGTTTTTTTTTTTTTCCCCATAGTTTATGTTTTTTTACTTTAAGGCATTTGAAGATATCAGCAAACAATTGCAAGCATGTAAAACTATATTGTATGGACCTGGAGGTAGATATACAAAACTATTTGTTTATTATTTTTTTAAATTTATTTCCCAAAGCCTGTTAAGGAAGACTAGGACTAAATTATCTTTTTTTTTTTTTTTTTTTTTTTTTCAATTTTTGCTATTTTCTCTCCCAAAGCTGCTATAATAAGGTACAATTTAAGCACAGTAATTTTATTTGTTTAATTTGAAGACAGTTCATGGCCAATAAGAATCCTTAATCTTCTAAACCTTTTAATGTTATTGCTATTTTTTTCTTTCACAAGTTTTGTTTATTTTTGGGATTATTATTTTTAATTTCATATTTTTACAATTTTAGCTAATGGGATTAAAGGTTAGGAAAAAATAGTTAAAAAAATGAATACTGTTAAAAGTAAAATAAATATCTATCAATAAGGGCTGGGGTCAAATACATATAAAAGCTGGGGTCAAATACATATTTGTATTTGGTAAAAATAGGCTAATTAGGCATGTTTGTATTTGTATTGTATATTTGATTAAAACATTTCTTAAATGTTTGTAATTGTATTTGATTGAAATATAATTGTGCTTCCATAAACAAGGTTTGCCGGGTTTATTTTGGGAAATACCACGAGATTTGTTGTTTTGTTTTTTCATTTTTTAGTACTAAAATAAAATTTTGTTAAATATTTAACAAAATCTCTTAAAATCTCCTAAAAATATGTCTTAAAAATTTGTTTTTAAGATATTTGTTAGAAGTTTCATTCTTCTATTTAGTCGACCATTTTATCAATCCTGTCTTAAAAAAATCTTACTTTTTTTTCCGCCTATAGTACAAATATTTGTATTTGGAAAATGCCAATTAAATATATTTGTATTTGAATTTGTATTTGGAAATAAAGAGTCAAAGGAAAGAGACAAAAGTTTAAAAAAATGACTGAAACAAGCATTAATAAGCTCAAATATACCATCAAAATGGAGTTTCTTAATAAAAGGAAGCTTGAAAATTGTATTTATTTATAGTTAAGTTATTAAAAACTGTATTTATTTATAGTTAATTTATATTTAATTAATAAGAATGAAGGATGAAAGTTAAAACCACAATTAAAATAAGAGTAGTTCAGAACAAAATGTTCTTGCTAGCAAAAGCATTCTCTTGAACTGCAGTTAAAAAGTCGAAAATTCAAATTGACTGTGAGTCTTATTTCAGAGTCTTATTTAGTCACATACAATGTCGATGAAAAAAATATGTTTTATGCCAACAATGCAAAATCTACTAAAGTATATTTGAAGTAATTTATAAGGTATTTAAGTATATTAGGGTAATTATGATCAATATACTTACTATTAACTTGTGATTAATTTTTAATTAAAAACTAAATATTGTAACTATAGTAACTGTATAAAAAAATGCAATGCAGAAGTAGAGTTAGGAATTTGAACCCACTATCTAATTGGTGTAAATTTGTTGGTATTCAGATGGGTAGATAGCAGTTCTGCAAGGTACAGAGTTGCTAACAGTTGAGTAAGATACTTCCAAGAGTGTATTCATGGAAGTATTGTATTTAGCTTGTTACTTTGTACAGCACTCTTTTTTTTTGTCAAGGAGTCATAGAGTTGAATAATGTATATTGCAACAGTAACAACAAAAATGTATATAGCAACAGAAACAGCAATAATGTATATAGCAACAGTATGAAAAAAAAATTGAAAATAATACCTTGTAAACTTTGTAAAAGTGACTTTGTTGTGGCTTTTTTAATTTAATTTTTTAGTTAGAGTTGTTTTTTTAGACAGTTTTTTTTCTGCTTTTTACATTTTTTTTCTACATGACACTTTTAAGATTTGTTCCATATTTTTCACTGTTCCATATTTTTAACTGTTCCATATTTTTCACTGTTCCATATTTTTCACTGCTCCACATTTTCACTGTTCTACATTTTTATTGTTCCATATTTTTCACTATTCCATAGTAATTTAACGTTTTTAGTTAATTTCTATCTAGTTTTCACTGTTCCATTGCATTTTTAAAAAATGGAATTAGGCTAAAAAGAGGTTTAAAATTTTAAAGAGAAAATGTTGATTTTTGCCTTGATAAATTAATAATATATGAATATTTTGCTAAATCGCAACCATGAAAATTAGTTAGCATCTACTTTAATAGCTTATAAAGCAAAAAAACTTAACACAAAAGAAACAATTCTTCTTAATAAGATGAACAAATGAAATAATTAAATCATTGAGCTACTGTAGAAATTCAATTAACTAGATAGAAATTAACTAAAAACGTTAAATTACTTTGTGAGGAGGAAGCGGAACTGCTTCACAATACTGCTGATGATGTTTAGTGAGTGGGCTTTATAACTTTAAGTTTAAGTATAACGAGTTTGTAAGAATGGCTGAAGCAAAAATTTGTTAGTAAATTGAAGTTAGTAAACCAATTTCTAAAAACTTAAAAACTTTTCTTTCTTGAGGGAAAGAATCAGTTATCGGGTACACTGAGGAAAATGGATTAGTGGTTAAATTATTTGTATTAACTTTGATGATTATTAATAATTTCATTGAAAAACGCAGTTATTATTGAAAGTATTTTTGTTTACAAAATCAATCACACAAATTGCTTTAAAAGATTACATTTGAATAAAATACACATACATAAAATTACATTCATAAAAAAATACATACATAAAAATACATTAGATACATAAAAATACATCCCTTATATATAACAAATAAGAATATACTAATAAAATCTATAATATATTTACAAAATGTTGACAAGTTAAAAAATATAAATTTAAAACATTTATTTTTGTAAACAAATAATGTTAGTTTAAAACATAGCTTTGTAGATGTGGCTCCGAGAATTAAAACAAGAGTTCATTTTATATTCTTTAAACAATTTATACTAGAAATCTCAACAAAAGCATAACAAAACTCAAATAATACAATTTTTAAAAATATTTCAACAGAATACTCTAAAACATTCGCTTAGTAATTTTTGAATACTCTAGAAATTTCGGTTAGTATTTTTTGAACCAATAGAATTAGTTGTTCATAGATTTCTTTTGTGTTTGCGAATATTCTTTTTTTATTTTTCCGCACAAAGATATTTGAGTACATTTGAGTTTATGTATGTTTCCATGTATGTCTGTAAAACAAAATATTTTAAAATTTATGATAAAATAATGAACTTAATTATGCATAAACTTAAATGTTCTCAAAACGACTAAAACATCTGGCCAGTTTTTTGTAACTAAATATTATTTCCGGGGTCAGTTATCGAGTGCGATCGCACCCGCTTCCCGACCAAGCCTGCTGTTATTAAATTTTTTTTTAATACTGAATTTATTTGAAATTCCTAAATTTTTTTGAAAAAGCCTACAAAAATTTAAATATTAAAGAAATCAAAATTAAAAATTTAATAATTAATTTAGAACAAGATCCGCATCCTGAGTTGATATCGCAACTTGCTCAAGAGTTCTACAATTATCATATGTTTTCTCTTCTAGTGGCTAATCTATGTAAACTAGACTTTGAGGTTTGTTATTTAACATTACAGATATTCTTTTTTTTCAAAACATATTTCCTATTAATCAATAAATAATCTTTTATTTTTTAATTTATTTATTTTAATTTGAAACTTCTTGAATAGTAAGAAGAAATTCCTGTGTTTTTATTACACTGCTAGATGTTATTATATATAAATTGTTTTATATATATTAAAGTCTAGCATATTTGTATTTTTTAAAGCATATTTGTAAAATAATTATACCTACTCAAAATTGATGTTGATGAATTAATTCAACAATTGATGTTAATGAATTGATTCAACATTTGATGTTGATGGATGGATTAAACATTTGATATTAATGGATGAACGGGCCTATGATGGACAGTTTTACCTTGTTTTCAAATTACAAATTGTCCCTGGAAAAGGTGATATGAAATTATCATCTTAAGTTCACATCAGACATTTTATAATTTTTACATAACTGCTTGTATAATTTTATTATTAAGTAAAATCTCTTTTATTACTTTAAAAAATTTATTATTAACTGAGGAAATTTTCTCCAAATGGATGTTGTTAAAAAACAAAATAAATTTATGTTTTATCCAAAGAGAAAAAAACAATAACATAAGTGAAAGTATTCAATTCTGATCATTAAAACATATACCTTTCATCAAATTCATTAGGTTATTAAAAACTTATAAACAATATTTTTAACCTCTCAAACTTTAAGCAGTTTTGAGTGTTTTTTTTGACAAGTTATAAACACCAGAATGTATTTCTGTGTGTTGCCTCATTTGGATAAAATATATGAATATATTAGCAATGGCTATGTCATAAACACAAGTCATAAACATTTATACAGCAATACATTTTGTGTTTTCAACTTGTTTAGATGTAGTATGAGAATATATCAAAAATGGCTATGTTGTTTTAAGTGAACATTGGTAAAATAAAGAAAATAAATATTGTTTCTCTAAGTATACTAGGTACAATATAGGTTAAAATCAAATAAAACTAATAATTTCTGGTGTCATGCACGGTTGCCATCAATATATAATTGTTAACTTTTTAAATATGATAATAAGAAAATGTTTAATTATGTAGTAATTTTTATCATGAGAGTTTGAACTTAAGTTATAATTTATATATGTTTAATGATAAAAATGAAAAAAAGTATTTTGTAAATGTAGTATACAAAAGTCTGATTTAACTTGTTACTGTGCACTGCAACCTTGTTTGTCAAGTTTTTTGTTTTGAAAAAGTTATAGCATTGAAAGGTTGCCATAATGACATTAAGAAAAAAAAGTTGCATCTTAGAATGACTTTAGTGGTGAGCATAAAATTGTTTGTTGGCTACCCTCTCTTCATTTAATACTCTGGCATAGATAAAAACCTGTGTTACATTGTTTCCTGGCTAAGGTGATTAATGTTAGATCTTCTTGACGAAACCTTCTTGACTAAAAGCTTTGTGTTTGTACCTTTTTGATAATAATTACATAATTCTTTCCTTCATCTTTTAAGGCTCTATAACTCTGTTTAATAGTAGTAAACAAAAAGGGCTGGGGACACAACCTGCATAAATATTGATACACCCTATCAATATTCAAGTATTAACATTCTAATTGAAATTTAAGTTATATTTCCTATATATATACTATTTTATATATCTATATCTATCTCTCTTTCTTGTTCTCTCTCTAACTCTCTCTCTTTATATATATATATATATATATATATATATATATATATATATATATATATATATATATATATATATATATATATACATATACATACATACATACATACATACATACATACATACATACATACATACATACATACATACATACATACATACATATATATATATATATATATATATATATATATATATATATATATATATATATATATATATATATATATATATATATATATATATATATATATATATATATATATATATGTATTTGTGCCCTGTGAATCTGCATTTTTAATTTCAAATTGAATCATAAATCAAAGCAGGTCTTGATTTACAAATCAAATCGCGAATTGAATCAGCAATATGAGGAAATCCAAATCATCTTTTTTCAATAAAAAAATTCTGCTTTAAAAAATTTTTTAGCAGTCGTTTGGAAGCAGTATTAAAATTACTTTTGATTACAAATACTTTACTCTGGCTGAATTAAAAAAAAATATTTTGATTGCATCTTAACATTAGATATCTAAAAAAACAACAACACTCACAAATAGTGATTTGAAAAACTTAAATCATTGTTTCGAATCAAATCTTGAATTGAAGCGACGCTTGATTTGCAAGGCACTAATATGTATATACACACACACAACAACAACAATCCGTGATTTTAATGTGTCTTTTACATTAAAGATAGTTAAAGTAGAGATAATTACGGTAAACAAAATTTTAAAAATGAAATGTTTTTTTGAACTAAAAGTGTAGTATATTTTAAAAAATATATATTTAAAAAAATATATTTTTTATATAAATATATATAATTTAAAAAAATTACGTTTATTAAATAAATAACATTTACTGTAGGTTATTTTAAACAGATTTTAATAAAACTTTTAAGTCATTAAAATCTTTATTTTTACTATTTTAAAGAATATTGAAAAAAAAAAACTTTCAGAAAAAGTTTACTCTTCGTTTTTTCGTTTTCCTCACGTAAATTAAAATAGCAAGCTAAAGGCAAATTATGTTACGTTGTTATGTAAAAAAGTTTTTCATTTTCTTTTTAATTCATTTTGTTGTCTTGAAGAAAAAATGAATTAGCTAAAATAAACTGAAAATTATTTATATAATTCTGCATTAAAAAATGGAATTTTTTTTCTATTTTTTATAAAAAAGCAAAAGAAAAATTAAAAAATAAAAATAATTTTTGGGCGCTTTTTTTTTGGGCGCCCATATCGGTTCAACAGTATTAAAACACATATGGGTTCTTCTAACATCTGAGGAAAAGTAATGAAATTAAATAAAATTTTATTTATTTATATAAGTTTATTAATAATATTATTTTGTGTAATAAATACAAATTAATTATGAGAAATGTTATTAATTTTGTAAAAGTATTTGCTAAAAACCATATGTATAATAATAAAAGTTTTTTATTTAATTACGAAAAAATTTTTTCTAAAAATGTTGTATTTTGAACAGAATAGTTTGCTTATCGTTAAAAACAAAATAATCATTATTTTCATATTTTTAATTGCGCTTTGGAAGTCGAAATAAAACATTTAAAAAAACTTGTTTTCTAAATGCTAACCTAAAATGTTTTCGGCCAAAATTTAACTAAATTTAAAAAGCTTTTGTTATTAAAATTATAACTTATTATTTATAACTTAATTAAAATTAAAAATTTAAGTTTGTGAAAACATTTGCTAAAAAAGTTATAAAAGTTCTATTAGCGTTTAACGAAATTAGCGCATTACGAAAAAATATTAAATTTTGTTTTAACGAAAAGAAATCGTTATTTCTTTGTTTTATTGTTTTGATGCAAAAAAATGAATATATATTTTAATTAAACGAATGAAACCATGAAAAAAATGAAAACTTATAAACTTCTTTCAAATAAATTTGATGTAATAATAAAAAAAAAATTGACTGTAGTATTGAGTTAAAGATGAAGACAATAACAAAGAAAATACATAAAAGATAAATTTATTTTTTAAAAATAAGATCATTAAGAACAAAAAAAACACAATCAGTATTTAGGAAGTTGAAAGAATTTTAAACGTTTTGTCAGGCAGTGTGCTGCTAAATAATAATTCTAAAATAATTATCGTCTAAAGAACGCTGTATAACAAATTAAAACTTAATAAAATTGTGTGGAATGCCTATATCCAAAAATAAAATATCGCTCCCAATAACTTAATGACGAAATTTTGATTTAGTTTTTTTTTATTTAAAAACATTTATAATAAAAAATTAATACTTTTGAAAAAGTATATATGTTTTTTATAAAAAATCATTAACAGTGACTTGTTACTTTATTTAAATTCAATAAAATAAAAACGTAAAAAAGTAAAGATCGAAGTTAGTTAATTCAAACGGCTTTCAAAAAAGTTTTTTGTTTTCTTCTCAAAAAAAACTTCAATGATTCTTGTATGAAGTTTATTAGAGACCTTTGCTTATTGAGGTCTAAATTTAAAAAAAAAAAATTTTTAATAACTATTACTTTATTTATTTTTACTTATATAATTAAAAAAAATCTTATATAATTAAATAATATAAAAAAAGAAATAAACAACTTTCAATGATAATTAAAATCTTTTTTTAAAAGCATTTTGCTAATATAAAAACGTTAGTAAAGATAAATGCGTCAAATTTATTTAATTTTAAAGTAATTAAAAAACCATTTTTTTAGCGCATTTGTTAAAAGTTGTGGTTAAATCATCATAGCAGAATATTATTTGTGTGGTCATAAAAAGACACACACAAATAATATTCTGCTATGAATGGCACGCCTTCCTGGCCAAGCCTGTATATATATATATATATATATATATATATATATATATATATATATATATATATATATATATATATATCAACCCTCGGATTTAAGAAAATTGAGGTCGGCTTTAGGAAACAAAACATAAAAGGATCACATCAGCTCCAAATGTTAACAAAAGCAACTTTTTTAATAGACGTGATAGTCATAACTTGACAACAAATACTTGGGGGCCATTTTTTTCTAAGTTAGCTGATGTCAGTACTTAAATAACATTTTTGTTTGTTTGTTTGTTTATTATGCTCTTTAAAATTGTTTTTATTATAACAATTTTGTTGTGGGTATACTGGCAAAAGACGTAAAGTTGAAAATTAGCAGTTATGACTTAATGATGTAGTATTGTAAAGTTTACAATGCTCTACAAACTGGCAAAATACACAGTTGAATGAAGCATAATCTTTTCTCTGGTTAAAAAAGTACACTTAATGTTAACTTATAAAACAGGTATTTTATTCATGCTAACTTACATTACAATTTATTTTTTCACAGTTGCACTTAACATTATGGTGAATTTAAATGTAAACACCAAATGTAATTTAATAAGATTATAAAAGTTTCAAATTAAATGAAAACTTAAATGATTGATTTCTCTAAAGCGGGATTTTTGAGTTAATGTTTTTTGCCAATATACCCTATGTTTAAATAAAATAGTTATCTATTTTTTCAAAAAAGTTTGTACACAATTGTATTTATTAAATCCTACATACACACACACACACGCACACACACGCGCGCGCACACACACACACATGCATACATACACACACACACACATACATACATACACACACACACACATATATACACACACACACATACACACACATGCACGCACGCATACATGTACGCACACACAGTGTATACTGGCAGCTCATTATCAAGCTTTATTAACAGTATACTAGCAGCTCATTATCAAGCTTAGATTTCTTAGTCAGCAATGTCAAGTTTTTTGCACTAACCCAAGAGATACAGAGCAACTCAAAGGTGATTATTGCAGATGTCTATACTGGTAAGCTTTCCTTCGATTATAATATTCTACAAAGACAAAAATAAAAGACCATATAAAAGATGTCATGTTTGTTATGTACATGGAATAAAGACTGCTAATGGATATTCTTTAAAAATTATTTTTGGTTTGTCAATTTTGTTCATCACAAGCAGGATTGCACCTGAAAATTGTAGCAAAATTTATCACACACAGCAGGACTATGCTTTGCAGTGAGAATCTTTTGTTAATATTTTTGATGTGATGTGTGAAAAGAAACTAAGTAAATTTGTTGTTTTATTTTATCTTAAAGAGATTTTGACTAATAGGTCTCTATACTAAAATTTTTCTTTTTACTTATTTTTCAGATTAATTTTTGTTTGATTGCAAGTATATATGTTTGCCTACTTTTTGTTAGCAGTTAGACAAAAATTTATATTTGTAATTTACAGTTAAAGTCAAAATGAATGTGTATTAAATTTTTGGGATGGCAGAGTTTTGGTGACGTGACTTAGAAAAAAATAATTTTTTTTTTTCAAATTGTCTTTTATGTAACAAGAGAAAAAGGAGCCAATAAATTCTGACTAGTACTTTAGCTTTGTGATTTCTTTTCAAGACAAATTAAATCACTTACCTTTACTCCTTGATATGTAACTTTTCCCTTATCTGGCTTGTATTTAATTTTTATATAAGACTTCAATAAGTCTTCTATTTTACAATTTGACTATTTGGAATCTTATTCAATGCTGATCTTTTATGGACCTTGTATATCCAATCCATCACAAAGTTAGTATCTGTTGGCGTTGCCTCAATAGATACTAATAAAGGTCAAAAAAAATTTTTAATTTGGTAATATATTATTAAAATTGTTTTTAAAGGTTATACAATTATTTGAAAAAAACTTTTAATTTAGTTCCTTGAATAGAACCTTGAAAATTATTATGCCAATTTATTTGTGTAAATAAATTTGAGGCTTTGTTAATAGGTTTTGATATGTTAAAAGCAATGGTTATAGCCTCAATATTTTTATATGTTAAAACTGTTAAGTTTTTTTATTTTACAGTTATATAAACAAAAGTAGTAAATAGTTAAAAAGACAACAAAATATTTAATATTGAACTAAGTAGACACTTAGACAAAATATTTATATTGAGTTAAGTAGGCACTTAGAATATTTATATTTAATTATATTAGTACAAAGTGTTTTTTTTTTGAATACACTGTATGATTTTAATATTTTAAAAAAAGATTTAAATATTATAAGCTTAAATCATTGTTTATATTAATGATTAGTTTATTAAATATAGATATATAAATGTTATTTATTATCTAGCATATTAATTATTATTTTATTACATGTACACAGTTCAACAAAGTATCGAATATATGTATCAACAGGTTTATAAAGGATTGCATAAACTTAAGTTATATGTACTTGTAAAATTGTGAAAGCAAGGTACATATACATATACATATATCTTTATAGCAAGATACATCTTTCTGATTACAAAATTTTATTATTCTAAAATAGTTTTTTTTACCTTTTTTAAATTGCATTATTCAGTTAGTAGATTTGCTTTTTAGTTGAGCAAGTGTACTGAATGTATGGCGCCATTAGATTTCATAAAATATGGCACCATTAGATTTCATAAAATATCTGCTTTTCATACCTAACTACTCAAAAGCTCTACAAATCCATTTTCTTGATAATAATTGTACAATAAGTTTTTTATATTTTTATTTACATTTTTGATAAATGCTTTTTATTAAAACAATATAACATTCTGTTTTAAAAACCTTAGTCAAAAAAAGAAGTTGTGCAGATCTTTGGTGTCATGCTTCGAAGGCAAATTGGAGCGCGTTCTCCTACTGTAGATCATATTGAACAAAACAATGAAATTTTGTTTCAGCTTCTTAAAGGGTAAATTTTAAGTTTATTAAGTTTGCTTATTTTTGTAGGGATTTTTTAAATAAGTATTTTTAGATTTTTTTATTAAATCACAAATCAGATAAAACATCTCATTTTTATATTATTTAAACACTTTGGCATATAAAATTCGCCAAATGGTCACACACAAGCAGTGAATGCCTGAGGGAAGAAATGAAATACATTAGAATAAATGAGAATTATTTATTAAACAAAGCATATTTTGACAGTTGTCAAGACAAAAATAAAGATTAATAGAGGAATATTTAAAAATAAATAAGACAGACTATACACCCAAAACAGTACTCAACAACAATAACAATAAAAGAATTAAAAAAATTCTTTTATAAGCACCTATATCAACAAAGATGTACAACAAATACATCACCAGACAAAAAACTTATAAAACAAAAAACCGATCACAAAATAAAAAGTACGCTAACAGCAATGAAAGGCCTCAGAATGGAAAAAAAACAAACATTAATGCTAATGTGTAAGCATAATTTGTGTAGTGATTAAGTAATAAACATCTCCTCAGAGTCGCGTCTATTATCACTGGCGTTTCGATGAGGATCAGCATTTATAACTAGTTTATCCCGTCAGATAAACGTCATCGCCACTTATGCTTTACCCCGCGACTTACACCTATTCCATACTGCAGTAAAAAAGGACTCACTACAAATAGCCAAAACCCAACTAACCCCAAATTTGTAAAACACCAATATTTTTTTGATGATATGATATAAAAGTGTAGATCTACTGAACAAACAAAAATAAAAATAACTAAATAAAACACTTACCATACCACCAAAAGAAAATATGAAAACAAAATAAATTAAAATTCTAATAGAAACATAAAAATATTAATAAATTCATTTTAAGAAATAAAACCAAATAGGTATTATTAGCATAAACAAGCCCAAGATAATCAGAAAGCACTATACCTCATTAAAAATTTTTTTTTTATTCAACAAAACTACTATAACCTTAAATAAACTCTAACGCTGTCATAGATACCTCATTTGAAATATAATAGCCAATCAAAAGTGTAGGTAAATGAGCAACTCGCGAAACCCAAAATCATAACAATAGTTGAATATTATATGATAGCGAAAAAGAACGTTGCACAAAAACCTTAAAAATATATGCGGCATATATGTAAACATTTAATGAAGGATATAAAAATATTCTCTGAATAATGATAAAAATGAAAATTGTGCATGTGAAAATTAAAACAAAGCTGAGTAATAAATGCAAGATAATATAACATAAAAGTTCCTTGTTAACAGTAGTAATATGAAAATCAGGAGATAAATAATATAATAATAAATATTGCAATAAGACTAACTAAATATTGTAATAAAACCAGATAAATTTAAGCCAAATGAGTGGTTAAAAAATAAGTTGTGGGTAATATAGCAATGATATAAGTCGTGATATAAAAACGATGTACGAAGCGGGAAAACAAGTTGTTAAGAAGTGAAGTTTTCTCTACGGTTTATTAAGTTTGCTTATTTTTGTAGGGATTTTTAAATAAGTATTTTTAGATTTTTTTATTAAATCACAAATCAGATAAAACGTCTCATTTTTATATTTTGAAACTTAACAGATTTTTATCTTTACAGATTTTTAGCCTTTAATTGTAATTTTAAGTAGCTTTTAAAATAAAAATATTTTTTAAATGTTCGTCAAGTTAGTGACCAGGACTCTGGCTCTGGTTTAATAAACACATATGTAAAATAAAAAGTGAATTTTAATTAAAGATGAAATATTTAAAGGATGTGTCAATATTTATACACCCTCAAGCATTGCACGGATCTGGCTTCAGCTTTGTTTTATCAAAACCCCAGTTGTTTACTTATTAGTCCTTAATTGTTAAAATTATTATGAAACTATGCAATGTGTTATATGTAGCATTTAATTATTATAATAATTATCATAATTTATTATTATTACTCTCCAATAGCTGTAGTATGTTTTAATTATAATTAAATTTTAATTATCTAATAATTAGGATAGCAACAACATCATCATAGCAACATCAAAAAAGAATTATTTTCATACATAATAGTTTCTGTCTGTTATGAATCAGCTGAGCATTTAAAGATAAAAAGAAATAATTATTAATAGTGTTTTTTTTTTAAATAATAAAAAATAAATTATTGTTAATGTTTTGTTAAAAAAATAAAATATTGTTGTTGATTTTTTTAACCAAAGCTTTTTGTTACCTTGTGTATTTTTAAATATATAGGATATATTTTTTGCTGTTTTAATTTTCTTTTTTTTAATGGTTATTTTATCCAGATATGAAAATCCGGAAATAGCACTAAATTCAGGTATGATACTTCGTGAGTGTATACGTTATGAGTCATTGGCCAAAATTATTTTGTCAAGCGAAAAGTTTTTTGACTTATTTAAATATGTGGAGGACTCTACGTTTGATATAGCTTCTGATGCTTTCAGCACATTCAAGGTTTATTTTTTACAAAGAATAGTAAAAATAATATTATTGATAACGTTGTTTAAATAAAATTTTCTTTTTATTATATTTATTATTTTTATTTGCATTTCATTTTTTTAGGAACTTTTAACGAGACATAAGTTACAGTGTTCACAATTTCTGGAACATGAATATGATAAGGTTTGATTTTTACATTAACATGCATTATTTACAAAACTGTTTTTCTGGGTTAAACACAAAAAATAAAGGATCACACTAAAGCAAAAGTTTAAATAATCCTGTTTCTGTGTTTACTTTAGTTGTTTTTTATAATTTCTATTTTTAAATACATGCAATCTTTATTAAACTTTTTTTTTTTTTGTAGTTTGTATTTTTCTATTGTTCCACTAACTCTACATTTTTATCATGCTGGCATCAAAATATATTATAATAATTTATAATAATTACATAAGTAGTTTACAGTTTTATGCTTAATGTCCAAACTAGCAGTTTTACAAAAGTAATAGTGATGAAGATCTTTGGTTTATTTAAACTGGAGTCTGAGGTGTGAGAGTGTGGAGTCTGAGGTGTGAGAGTGTGGAGTCTGAGGTGTGAGAGTGTGGAGTCTGAGGTGTGAGAGTGTGGAGTCTGAGGTGTGAGAGTGTCGAGTCTGAGGTAAAGTCTGAATAGAAGATAAATTTGTTAATCATGAGTATCAAAAATGTGTCATGTGACACAAAATAATAAAAACATAATTCTGTAATAAGTGTTTTTTATTAAAAGTATAAATCAGTCACATGTATTTAACATGCAGCAATAAAAGAATTTCTTAAGTTTTAAATGAATTTGAGAAAACTGTAAATTGTACTTAATAAATAAAAACCATTTTCATGATCAGGTCTGTCTCTCAGTAGATCATATATCTCAGAAGATTGACTCCAAAAAATGTTGCTAATAAAAGTCACTAATAAAAGTTTGTATATATAATATAATTGTTATAGTTTATGTAAATTATATATTCATTATATAATATATATCTTTTGTGAAGAAGTGTTTCATAATTTATCTCATAATTTTAACTTTTTACTGGGTATAGCTTGTGAACCACACTTAAAGCTTTTTTGTTGAGTTGGTTTTTTCAATTTTTTATTGTTCTATTTTTAGTTATTTTTATTCTAATGTGTACAAATTTTTGGATTTCTTAATGAAACATTAGATTTTTTTTTTTCTTTTTTTTTTTTTATGAAGTTTCTACTTTAATACATTTTTTGACTTCATTAACTTGCAAAGACTTTAGATGAAGTCATTAACTTGCAGAGACATTAGATGACTTCATTAACTTGCAGAGTTTTTAGATGGCTTCATTAACTTGCAGAAACTTTAGATGATTTTCTAATAAACAAGTTGAATAAAATTTCTGAATAAATTTTTTTTTTTTTTTAATTTTCTTGAAACTGTCTAATTTAATTAAATACTTTCTATAAACTGTTGTGTATAAATCAATGAAAATTTTCTAGTTTAGTTTATTTTGAGATTTTTATGTTAGTGATAAATGATAAAAAATTATTTAAATTCTTCGTTTTGTCAACGTATAATTTAGACTTATTAAAATTTCTTTGAATTTTTTTTGAAGGTTTTCACAAAATACAGAGTTCTTCTCGATTCACAAAACTACGTCACAAAGCGGCAATCTTTAAAAGTTTGTTATTGTTGTTTTTGTATTTGTAATTGTTTCTAATTGTTTTGATTTTAAATAATGAAACATAGATACAATTGTTTATATAATTAGTAATGTTTTCTTAGCTTTTAGGTGAACTATTGCTAGATCGACACAACTTCATTATAATGACAAGATACATAAGTAATCCTGATAATCTAAAACTTATGATGAACTTGTTACGAGATAAAAGCAGAAATATACAGTTTGAAGCGTTTCATGTTTTTAAAGTAATTTTTTTCACTCAATTAAAATAATAATAATAAAATAGCATCAATAATGCAAATAATATAGATGACAGATAATATAGATAATGTAGATAAGGTAAATAAGATAGATAATGTAGATTATATAGATAAGATAGATAATGTAGATAACATAAATAGATAATGTAGATTACACAGGTTAACAAAAAAAAAATTTTTTCTGTTGCCGAGCAAACAATTAGTTTTTTTTTTATAGCATTTCTCATTTTCATTTTAAATATGCAACTTATTTTTCACCATCACGTCAAGTTGTAAAGATATTTGGGTTCAAATCTTTAGTATTTGGGGTAAAATCCCTAATATTGTCGAAAAAAAAGTTATTCAAAAGTATGTCAACCTTGGTCTCAAAAGAAGCGTATTATCATAGAGATCTTAGAAAACATTTTTCCTTAAAACTTATTGATAAAAAAAATAATGTTAAAAATGCTTAAGACTCTTTGAAAAATTGTAACAAAATGTTTTTCAGCTATAACACAAAAAGTATGTATTTTAATTACAAACGAATAACATATACACTATATTTAAAGTGATAGAGCAGTGAAATCATATGACCATAATAATCAGTGAAAGCATCATATATATTCTATGAAACAATATTTTCTGAAAAAATAAAAAAATCCATATATCAAAAAACCTTTTTTAAAGAAAATCCATATATCAAAAATCGAGGACAAAAATATAGAAAGCTCAAACACCTAAAAATACTCAAGATCTCAAAATTATGATTAATTTAAAATTTTCCAAGATCTATGAAAATACTCTATCAAAATACGCTTTTTTTGAGACCCAGGTTGATATACTTTTGAATAACTTTTTTGTCGACAATATTAGGGATTTTACCCCAAATACTAGAGATGAACCCAAATATTTATACACCTTGACGTGATGGTGAAAAATGAATTGCATATTTAAAATCAAAATGAGAAATGCTATAAAAAAAACTAATTGTTTGCTTGGCAACAGAAAAAAAAAATTTTCTGTTGCCAAGCAATATAGTTAACAAATTTGATTAAATACTTAAGTTTTTGTTTTTAAGTGTTATTTGTTTATATTTTTACCCGAAATTTTTTCCTGAAAAAGAAATAAGTGCAGACATTAAAATGCAATCTTAGTAATTATTTCTTTTCAAAATGAAATAAAAAATAGTATTTTGAAAATATTGTTTCCATGGGTTTCATGAGAAAATCTATTCCATGGAAAATTCATAGGAAAATCGTTTCCATGGGTGAATTTCTTTTCTTCTAAACTTTTTTCAGTTAGTACTATTAACACTAATTTGAAATTAAACTAATTAATGTCTATAATTATGAATAATTAATAAATAAATTAGCTAATTATTATAACTAGTTAATATCTTAATAAGTTAGCTAACTAATTAAAGTCTTTACTAAATAAATTAACTAATTGTTCTAATTAATTAATGTCTTTACTTATAATAAAAATACACTTGTTCAACAGGTTCATATTTTAAATTCTACTCTGTCAATTCTTAGTAATTTTTCTGTTAATTTTTCAGGTATTTGTCGCAAACCCAAACAAAACACAACCTATATTAGATATCTTGTTAAAGAATAAAGATAAACTCGTAGAATTTCTTTTGAATTTTCACACTGATAGAACAGGTAATTTTTATTTCTAGCTATTTATTTTAAATTTCTTTATAAGTAATATTTCTATTTATACAATTAGGTATATTAAAAAGTATAATAAAGTAATTGAAATACAATAACGTATGAAAAATGTTTTATTTTGTGTGTGTGTAGAAGATGAACAGTTTAACGATGAAAAAACATATCTAATAAAACAGATAAGGGACTTGCAGTCTTCTTCTTCCGATGGAGCAAGTGATCATTAGTGGTTTCAATATACTTTTAAATGAGTACTACAATTAAGCAAATAATAAAACTTTCTTTAAGTCTCACTGAATCTCACTGGAGTTCACCGAAACCTTTTATAGTTATGTATTTGTAAACATCATCTTTATTACAAGTGTTTAATTTTGAAACTTTTTTTTGTTATCAAATGTATCGTTATGGCTGCATGGGTTTAACTGATGGAATATTTTTATATGTTAATGATATCTAAATTTTTTTTTTAAATAAATTGTTTTGTAATATTAAATAGTCTGAAAAACGATTGGTTTTAAAATTCAACAATTTTTAGTATCTAAAATATGATCGGTCTAAAAATGGCAGTTGTTATTTGTTTGATTTTTTTTTACTTTAAAATTATTTAATTTTTTATTATTATTCAGAAAATGTTGTTCTTGTTTTCTTTTATGATTTTGTAACTATTAAATGCAAAAATCTTGAATACAATTTTCTCGAAATAATTTTTGCGTTTTCACTTTTATGCATTAGTCATCCATTTTAATTTTTTTTTCTTTTGAATTAATTTTAAGCTAATTTTTTTGGTTAGATCTTTTGACATGATGCACAGGGTAGTCGGTAAAATGCAAACTGCAAGCCGGTATAATGCGAACTTTTTTGCGAACCATAGTTCTATTGTATTGATACAATTTTTTTTATTTTCCGTTTGCCGTTAAATTGTTTATTTTACTATATATTTTATGGACTTTAAGCAGAAACATAAGTTATATTTAATTTAAAAGAAGTACAATCTAATTTAAACAAAAAATATATCAAATTACACTATATTTAATTTAAAATAAAAAATTGGCGAACAAACGTTTTCTTAAATATCAAAAGTAGTGGTCATTAAAATATAATGTTTTGGTTCGCAGTTCGCGGTTCGCATTTTACCGACTACCAAAACATGGTGGTCCAGAAATGTCACTTAAGGCAAAAATCACATCTTTGCCAATTTCGAAAATAATACCGGAAATATAAGGATTTAATGTTTCTAAACCTCGACAAAAAACATCAGTTAAGTTTTTAACTCTTGAGGTCTTTCTTGCATGATCCAAACAATCTTTTTTGTGTCATTTGTGAAGATTTTCTTATGCATTTTTGCCAAAAGTTCCAACTAACAAAATTATTTCAACCATGATTTGAGCTCCATGAGCAAAAACTTAATGAACACAAGTAGGAATTTTACACCATGAATATTTGTCATTGATGATTAAAAGTGTTTGTAGACAATAATTTTCAAATTTGACTTTAAAAGGACAAAGATATTATTGTTCTTAAATAGACAATAAGATTTATATCTATATCCAAAATTTCTAATAACAAATTTTGGATCAGAAAAAACTTGCGGTATTGCCATTATTAGATGAACCAAGTGCAACCTAGATGGGCTTTGTCTACGTTTAAATTGAATTTTTCCCAAAATCTTTTTTGTATAAGACTTTTTCAAGCTTTTACAAAATCTTTATTTATTTTTTCTTTTGCCTGCCATTGCCCAATAACCAATTTATTCAATAAATAAAGAAGATATTCCATGAAACGGATCCAGCAATAAAGTGGACTTATCCCAAAGAGTAAAAATGCTTTCTCAGTGTTAAATTTGTTTGTGTTGTTTTCAATGTGACTCATTTCAATATTTCGATGGCTGTTAAAAATAAAAAGCTTTAGATATTAAGAACTTTTTCATCTGATAGCTGCATTATAATATGAGGAAGTTCATTGATTGTTGTTCAACAAAAATTTTTGTTTCGAAAGTAATTCCTTACTTTCTTTAGCATACTTTAAAATCATGGGTCTGCAAAATTTAACAAAATTAGGAGTTGGGTTTACTCAAAACTTATCCCAGTCATATGTTTGAAGTTTTAAGGGTACAATTGTAACAAAAAAAAGCGAGTCGTTTGATGAACTTTTAGATATCTTATCGAACTTTTGGTTGAATTGGGAAAAATTACTGGCTCCATCAAACGTCTAATTTACAACAAAAAGCAACTCAATTGAGTCCTTTTTTAATTAGTAACTTTAAATATGATTTGCGTCTCTTGTGATTCTATTATTCTTCTATTATTCTTAGAAAAGTATGTATTAGAAAATGTTGTAATCGGACATTTGCCTCGTTGTCAAAGATGTGCATATTATTTGGTCTACATTTTTTATTAGATTCCAAAATATTTTTTATTAGATTCCAATTTTATAGCCATTTACTGAAATTATGTAAAATCATAATTTAATAGAAAAGAAAGTCCTTTTTCCAGAGACTTTTTTTTATTTATTTTTTAATTTTTTTTATTAATATCAAATACGAATCGTTGATCTGGTATAATGCATTTGATAATATTTTCTAAGTTTTTATTACATTTGGCTGTGTATCTTGCTGTTTCGAGTACCTTGGATCATATTCAACTTTTTCAGACAGATTTGAAATTACTGTTTTTTTAGCTCGTTTTCTTTTGTCTTTAAAAGGCAATGTATGCCGTCCCTCTCTTTAAATCTGGTGTTTCTGATACGTTTGAGAGTTTCCAGTTTCTCTTTAAGTTTAAAATTAAATTCATGTTCTAACCAGGAAATTGAATTTCTATGAAATTTATACTTAAAGTATTGAACATCCTTCATTTTTTGTTTGTAGGTGGTTTTTAATGTTTATAATTTTCTTTCTAATTCTTTTTCTTGAGCACCTTTAATTTTCGTAATATTCTTCTTCTCCAAAATATTTAAACATTTCTAAACTTTAATAACATCACCTGTCATAAAAGAAACTAAAATCTTTTTTCTTTATTTTCATCTAAGACGGTTTATACTTTATTATTTATTCACTCAATTTTAAATCAACAAAAAGATTTTTTGTAAATTCTTTCAACTTTCGGAAGATTTTGAAGTCACATTTATTTAAAGGAAGTATTTCGATGTTATATTAATAGTGAGTCTTTCAATTACCACAAATATATCTTTTTAAGACAATATTATGGAATTTGATTGAAAATGGCTGTCAAATTCTATGTAAAAAAAAAATTAAGTTGAAACATTTTTAATTTAAAAATAGTTTTTCTTGGGCGGGTACGGGCGGCATCCAAACCTATTGGTTTAGATGCCGCCCGTATTGGATTAAAAGAAGAAGGGTTGAATTTTATCCATACGTATTTAGCTTCTTACAGAAGCATTTAGAATTTAATAAAAGTCAAATTCAAGTATGCTATTTTTTTCTAGTCTGAAAAGTTATCTTTTTTTGCATTTTTTACGGCATAAAATATAATTTTATAAAATATTTTACATTAAACTCTGAAAGACTGTTTATAGGCCGTATGCAGGTCGATCTGTTTCTTTCATCCCGTTGCTCAAACTCGGGGTCTACGTTTTCAAAAGGTAAAATTGCGTGTTAACATTTAGTGAAACGAAAAGATAAATGTTTACAATATTAAACACCATACTTTACCTATAATAAGTGTTTTTATGTTCACCTTTCGGTCACGCGTGTCGTGTTCGAGATTTATCGATAGAATAAATTTTTGTTTACATTTTGATAAACGTGTAAATTAAGGAACGAATTTACTGCAGCATTTAATAAAAAACAAATCAAAAATAAGGTTATGCAAAATGTTACATTAAAAAAAATTGTTATGAAAATAAATGGCGGCAGTTAAAATTTGCTTAATCCATTTTAACAACGTTGTGAATCACGATGACCTTGTCAAATTTACTAGAACTTCTTTTGAAAGATTTTTAGAATTTCGTCAAGCGTGGAAAAGTTTAAATGGTAACCACAGAGAAGTATCCTCTAAAAGTTACTGTTATTTTAGCGAAGAAGATAAAGTACAACTTCAGCAACAACTTCTAGTTGTTTCAGATTTAATTCAGACCAATTTTTGGTATCATCATTCATGTTATCAAAGATTTACATATAAAATTATTTTAGAAAGGTTTTTAAAAAAAGTTGAAAAAAACAAAGATGAGCTGCAAGTATCTTTACAACAGGACAATAGTTTGGATTTACTAGAGTCAAATAAACATTTTGATTCAAAAAGAAAAAGTAAAAGGTTGCTATCTGTCGAACTTAACAGAATAAAAATATCCAAGTCTGCAAATTTATTACCAAGGATTTGTCTCATCTGTAAGAAAGCGCAACTAAAATATTTTGATAAAGTAATTCTTTTGTTTAATAATATATGTAAAAAATTAATAAGGGTGTATAAATAAAAATAAATAAAAGAGTCGTTTACTCTGCTAAAAAAATGATTTTGATACATTATTTAATGTTAAGAATTATTTATATAGGTTATAATAAGAATTATTATAAGAATTATTTATATAGGATATTTATATAAGTTTCTAAAAATATGGTGTTCCAAAATTTAACTCAATCATTAACTTACAATGCTGGCAAGTTGCGACTCGCAGCTGAACATAAAAATGACACAAATATTAGAAATAGGTAGCAATATTTATTAGTAATAGGATGAAAAAAATGAAGCAATTATAGGATATAAATAGAATAGGAATAGGAAGCAATGAGCAATGCTCTTCTAGAGGTTGTTCTGCTATTGAAGTTATCACGCGCGTTTAGATTGAAGTTATCACGCGCGTTGCTACAAAAGTTATGTGGAGGTGTGTTTAAAATGACAATGTTACAAAATCAATAACTTTAAAAACTCTAATTTACAAAGATTCATATGATTTATTCTGTAAAAAAGTAGTTATAGATTTTTTGTTTAAAGAAAGTGAAATAACTACCATGTCACGTTTATACAAGATATTTTTACGGTATGTTAAAAATAACGAGGGCATCTTCTTATAGAAAGTACAGATTTAAAGAATGGCTACGTAAAAATTATCCAGATCTATTATTTCATAGGCGTGAAACAAGAAATAAAAGTGAAATTGTTTTACATTACAAACTTTCAGAAGGAAAAAATGCAGAAAACATGATTTTAGGTGATGATACAGTAACATCTGAGTCAGATAGTGATATGGATGAATTAATCACTATGAAAATTATTTGTTACAAATGTATAAAAGTGCTGTTAGTTTACTTGATGAAATCCGAAATTGTGAATATTTGAGTATGAGTGGCTACCGACAGCAAATGACTTTATTTTACAAAGTTGCAAGAAAATGGTTCCAATTATTCTATTTTATCATTTATGTTGGATGTTAGGATTTTCTTTCACAGTTCCTGATTATAACACATACATTTTGTTATCAAAGGAGAACGAGTAATGTGGTTTGAATATTTCACAGAATATAATCTATGCTCCTTCAAGTGGTCAAAAACAGACAGTAAAATCTTTAGCTCTTGGAATGGTAACTCATCAAATCCCAGGTTTTAAAGAAATAATTGACATTTTAATTTGGTTTGGACATTCTGCATCCTATGATACGATAGCCCAACATGACACTGTATTACTTTGAATTCAGTTATGTCTCTAAAATCAAAACTGATCCACGAATTAGAAAAAAAGGCAAGTGATCCAATAACCAATTTAGTTCTAGAGGATAATGCCCAAATTTTAAATGTGAAGAGTTACCGACTTAGTTTTAAAAATTGTTATTCAACAAGCTCATTACCATAAATCATCTAGAGTAGATTTTGTTTCTGATCGTTATCTTTTGCAAAGTATAAATTGTGGAGAACATAATAAAAGATTATCTGAAAGCATGTTTCGGTCATTATCTATAACAAAGATCAAAAAGTATACAAACCTTGGAAAAAGTTCATGTCTAATGGAAAGAATAAGGAGGCTTTTATTTGCTTTTTGTTCATTTTTTGGAAAGAAATTAATTTTATTTTAATGGGCTGGATTTGTATTTTACATAGATACGAAGATAAATGTTATAGATTTACTTTTTTCGCCAGTAAACTTGTGGTAGTGGAAATAAATGATTTGAAATGTGATCACGAAGAAGCTGATTTTAGACTCGTGCTACATGTGCAACATGAATCCAAATTGAAGCAGAACATCATTGTTAAGTCCTCTGATACAGATGTGTTTGTTTTATGTACTTTTGTAAAATGTTTGTTACCAAAAATCGATCTCTACTTTTGGGCTGGACAACGCAACCTTCAGCGAATTATTTCCATAAATAGTGTTGTTCATTTTTGGAGCGCTCAAACTTGCTTTTCTGTACCAGGATTTTATGCCTTTACTGGTTGCGATTTAACTAGTGCATTTTTTAGGAGAGGGAAAGTTTCGCTATTAAAACTGATGCAGAGTAATGCAATATTTTTGGAAGCTTTTAGCAGTTTGGGTAATAATCCGTTAGCAAAAGAAAAAACACGTACTACGCTAAAAATGTTTATCTGCTATGCATATGGTGAACAGAATACCGTTGATGTAACTGAAGCTCGTTATCAACTCTTTAGGAAAGGAAAGTACGGAGAAGAATTTATACCTCCCAATAATGATGCCCTTGATAATCACATTAATCGGGCTAACTATGTGGCTTATATATGGAAAAGATGTTTGACACAGTGGATTAATGTTATGAGCCCAGTTGGCAATGGCTGGCAAATTACTAATGGTCAGATAAATATTTTATGGCTTTAGAACTCACCAGTGTCTGATGCAATTCTTGATATTCTTAGCTGTGGTTGCAAAAGTGTATGCGTAACAAACCAATGTTCTTATCGTAAAGGAAGTTTAAATTGCTCAGATCTTTGCAAATGCACTCATTGCGAAAATAAGAAACAGAATTCAGATGAAAACACTGATTCCGAGATAAATGGCTTAGAAAGCGAAAATGAAAGTGACAACAATCGCGACGTTAGAATTATCTTGTTCTATCTCCACATTTTTTAGTTTTGAGATGAAACGATTTAAAAAACAAAAACTTTAGGAGACGGCGTATAAATTTTTTTTTTATATCTTATGTTTTTTCCGCAACATTTTTACTTATAACTTAGATTTCAATTCAGTAGAAAGACATTATTTTGAGGAACACACCACTATCATTAACTCAATTTTTCAGAAAGTGGAGGTTGAACAAGATAATTTTAACGTCGCGCAATGTAAATCTATTCAAAGAAAGTTTATAAATGGAGGGGTGGGGGGTTGTAGGAAGGGTAAACGAATAGCTTTTGTCTATTTTTACCTATTTACCATTTATAACTCAGTATTTGTTCATATAAGTGATTAAAAATAAAAGTTTATATTGTTTTTCTTAAAAGAACTTGTTTGCGCAACATGACGCCCCCCTTACTTTGACCCCCGTGTTCCCTAACAAATATTTTGCAGTGTCATGAGGTTAAAGGATCGTCCATAAATTACGTCACGCTATAAGGGGGAGGGAAGGGTTGGTAGTTTTGTGACGACTCATACAAAACTTGCTTCTTAAGTGTTACGATTTTGTGACGAGGGGGAGGGGGGGATCAAAATCTGTCTAAAAATGCGTGACGTAATTTATGAACGATCCCTATAGCTGTAAACATTTTTTTTTTTTACAACATATTAGTTATATTTTAGATTTTAGAAAGGTTAAAAGTCAGACACTAAGTTTGAGCAACGAAACTTAATTTCTAGCCACATTTAGAGATACTTGCATACAGCCTATTAACATTCTTCTGATTGATATACAATATATGGAAGTTCACTAGGTGTGGTTTAAGGAAATAAAACAAAAGTTCCAAATTAGTGCTTTTTGACTAAAAAATTGTTCTTTAAAAAATGACAGTTTTGAGCATCAACTTTGAGCCTCAAACCAATGTGGATTGAGTGCAGCGTGCAGCGTGCAATGTGCAGCGTGCAGCGTGCAGAGTGCAATGTGGATTGAGTGCAGCGGCATCGTCTAGGGTGGGGTTATAGGGCCCGTTTACTTTTATGACAATTAAAATTTTTTATTTGTATATGCGAAAACAAAAAAAAAAAAAAAATAGTCCAAAAACTGAACTTGATTTGATCTGAAAAGAAAACTTAATTTTAAAGTATAACTTAATTTTAATGTTTAATATTTTTTAGTACTATAGTCACAAATTAAAAAGAAAACTTGACTCAAGCATAAATAGTACTTGACAGCAATCAGCTATGCAGTTGTGTTATTTCTGCTAATCAATGCAAAATTAGTATCACGGGCTTCATTTGTGGTATTTTGTGACAACTATATGTTAACTGGGACATCATTTGTGTCTAATGAATGGTGTCTGTTACTGAGTAGAGTCAAATAGATCTAGTGTTTTTCATCCTAAGCAGAAAATAATGTAACAGGCTTACATCTAAACTATTCTATTAGATAAAAAACCCTAATGTCTTGCCTAGGAGTATTTTTTCACAACAGTATCTAACAACAGTGCCTAAGATGAGTATTTTTATACAGATACAATCTTTAGCTTATTTAGTTTTTTTGAGGAATCAGTATAACTTCAAAAAATTTAGGCTTTTACAAAAGATGTGAATAGTTGATTATGTGTCAAGGATCTATAAATGGCCTTAAAAAGAACCCTAAAAATTGTAAACTGTTGACTACAACCTCATTTATTCCTCTTGTTTCATTCTTGAAGCTTTTTATCCACAAAAAATTATTCTGTTAGATTTATATAATAACATATTATTAAATGAATGATTTAGTAATATGTTTATCATTAATGGTTAAGTTAGCACTCATATATATAGTGTTTTAACTCTTACTTGTGGTTATGCTTTTAAGCTGTGAAAATTTAAATCTTAAAAGTAATAATTATTGTTTTTCTAATCAATTATAGATATAATATGGACTCAGAGTAAAAAGGTTGTAATTGCAAATAACTATTGGTATATATATATATATATATATATATATATATATATATATATATATATATATATATATATATATATATATATATATATATATATATATATATATATATATATATATATATATATATACATATATATATTAGTAAAAACACTTATCTAAATTTCTTCTTCAGCCTATTTTATCTTTTGTAGGTTTATCAGGAAGCTTCCTCATGAACCTACAGATGATGAAACAAATTGTAGAAGAATTTTAGATGAAATAAAATTTTATTAATCAATTTTTTATTTTGTTTTTAGTTAAAAGTTATAGTTTCGAAATAAAAATTATAGTTTAAAATGGAAAATTCAATTGCATATCCTCGAAAAGTTGACGTATTAAAAATTTTTGTTACTGGTGACCAGAAAGGTATAATTTTATTTTTAACAATTTTTATGTTTATAGAGGTTTTTTTAAAAAGAATTTTTAATAAATTTTTTTTTTAACTTAAAAACAAAGCAAGTAAAGTAAATTAAATAATGAAATCAACTTTATTAAAATAAAGATAAAATATCTGATCAGAAATAGTACTACAAGAATATACTAGATTTATATATATATATATATATATATATATATATATATATATATATATATATATATATATATATATATATATATATATATATATATGTATATATATTTGTATATATATAAATATAAGAGTAATATATAATATATATATATATATATATATATATATATATATATATATATATATATATATATATGTATATATATATATATATATATTTATATATATATATATATATATATATATATATATATATATATATATATTTATATATATATATATATATATATATATATATATATATATATATATATATATTTATATATGGGCATTCCCAAAAATCATGCATGGAAACTTGTATATATTTTTTCTATTATATTCATAATAATAAAACTGACGATCTCCAATTTGTTCTCATTTAATTCTAACCTACATGAATATTTTGTAAACAAAAAATGGTATATATTAGTAATGTTTACAAAGAATGAATTAAGTTTGAAACAGAATCATCACAGAATTTGTTAATTTCATGTAGATATTTTTCAGAAAATAAATTGCTTGTGACTATTTTAAGTGGATTGTTATATTTCTACGACTCATATTTAATATATTTTCAATGAGATACAGCAGTTATCAATTATTTCTAGCTAAAGTTAAGCTTTTTAAAAATTGTTGTTTATTTTCAAAGTGTAGCGATATTATTACAGAAAAAAATGGTCAAAATATTTAATTTATTCAGGCAGCCTAAAATATGATAAAAATATTTTGTTATAAATGTTTTTAAAGAAAATTATAATAGTATGCATATTGCTTTAAGCCCCAGCTTTTAATTGCCAAAACAAAAAATAAATAAAAAATCACGCACAAAAAATGAAAATCCCCATATATATATATATATATATATATATATATATATATATATATATATATATATATATATATATATATATATATATAGAGAGAGAGAGAGAGAGAGAGAGAGAGAGAGAGAAAAGTTTGATAAGTGAATTTCTAGTAATTGTGGATAAATTAATCATAGTTAACACTGTTTTTATAAGTTCATTGATATAAGAAAATGGAAGAACAAAAAAAATTCTAAAAATTAACTACGACAACCAAAGTAACAAGACTCTAGATTTGCAAAATTTATACATTTTGAAAGTGGGTGGGGCAAAGCAGGCAAGTTAAAAAGCAGCAGTTATTCGTTAATTATAAAGCTTTAAAAGTGATAAAAAATAGAGGCATTTTATCATTTAAACATGTTTAGACATTAAAATCTTAAAGTAACATACCCATACAAATTACATGCAAATACACCCATACACCATAAATTTTTTTTTTTTTTTTTAAGTAGCAGTCAAAACAAAAACTTTTAGTGTTTTATAAAATACTCAAAAATACTCAAACAAACAAACTTAGGAAATTGTTCTAAAATTTAAGTAGAACAAACTAGTATATTATTAACAAACTAGTATATTATAATATTGTTAAATTTGTCACTACTACTAAATTTAAAATTAAACAAAAAATATTATGGATCACATATCTCACTCAAAAAATACGCTGAATTTATTTGGTAACATTTTTGATGAGCTGGCTTCTTAGCAATATGCCAATGTAGAGCAAATTTAAATATGCCATATGTAATATATATAATAAAACAAAATTTTAGCTGAGATATAAGGCTTCAAGCATAACTGTCCCGTTATGCCCCACTGTCCCAATATGCCCCACTTTTTAAAATATTTATACAATCTTATTTAAATACTTTCAAATTTTTTGTCAAAATTTTGCCAAATCAGCAAAGTATATTTTTGAATATATACATGAATAAACTAAAGAATCTTTATATAACTTTGTTGTGAAAGTAACAAGCAAAAAAAATAGAGGCAAACAATTTGCAGATTGTTGAGGCTGACAGAAAAAAAATCTAATTATGCGTAACTGCAAGTAGGGCCAAATGATTATATTCTAACAGACCTAACTGCTGACCTAGAAGTGTTTGAGATCAGAAAAAAATTTCCAACCTTGTTTCTATGTTTTATGGTCTATATACCTTTGTGTCACATTTTTTCCGCCAACCTGATGCTAACCTCACACAGATTAAGATTGACAGTTTATTGCTGACCTTATTTTTCCTCCGAGGGCTATATATATATATATATATATATATATATATATATATATATATATATATATATATATATATATATATATATATATATATATATATATATATGTATATATATATATATATATAATTTATATATATATATAATTTATATATATGTATATATATATATATATATATATATATATATATATATATATATATATATATATATATATATACACAGCTATAAATGCATGTTTAGGTAAGCACTGTGACATCAAACTAAAATAGCCTGCTGTGGGGAGTTTTAGTACATGCATTGACTAATTTTTAGCCTACTGATGCAAAGCAGCACCACTACATCAACTGAGGGCTAAGGAGGGGGCAGCAATCTTTTCTTTTATTATTCTTTATTTTTTTCTTCTTTTTCTGAAAAAGTTGTATGCTATAAAGTTAAGCAAAAATAGTAAGCATTTGCTGATCTATATATGCTATAGTAGATGTGTGTATGTGAGTGTGTGCATGTGATTGTGTGTGCATGTGATTGTGTGTGCATGTGAATGTGTGTGCATGTATCTGAAAAATTATAAACATTTTTAAAATTATTTTAGTAGGCAAAGCAGCATTTATCAAATGTGTAGTATTCGGTGCTTATGATCCATATTTAGAGGTAACTATTTATTAATTTTATGATTTAGTTTTTTTTTATTTGTGTTATATTCGTACCAGAAATGTTTTATAAAATAAAAAAAATGTTATTTTGGGTTTTCAAAATTTAATACAGACTTGGTAAAGTGTAGCTTGCTGTCTTTTTATTTTTTGCTGAGTTTATTTGTCGTCATTGTATTTAATCTTATAATGTTCGTAATGTCCTTTTTTATTCATTTTGTTGCCATATTTTTTCATAAGATGTTATTTTTTTAATGTTGTTATATTTTAACATATGCAAAGCTTTCTAATAAAACTACTTTGTTTAAAAGTTACTTTAATTTGTTTAGTCTGCACTTCAGTTGGATTTTATGACAAGAGAAATAAAAGTAGAAGATGAACTGGTTAATTTTTATTTCTATTTTTTTAAACAGTTTTTTTGATTTTGTTTTGATTTTTTTATATAATTGGTTGTATTCTGATTTAAAAAAATTAAAATATAAAACTTTTTTTAAAGTAAGTAATCTTCTTTTTAAAGTAGCCTTTTTTTCCTACTTTACTCCTGGTCACTTTGTGGAAGTTTTATTTAAAAAGAGGTTTTATTTAAAGGTTTCAAATTATTTTTTAAAGGTATTTTTATTGCTATATCACTACTCGGAAAGTTAACAACTAAGTTTACAATCGCTTTAATTTTATAATCACAATAAATAAGGGTTTTAAACCAGGGTTTTTTTGTTATCAAAATAGGTTGCCATGACTACTGTTCATTGCATTCAAGATGACTGCTTGTTAGGTTAAATTTAAATAAGTCATAAATGCTTAATCAAATTTTTATTTAAGATTTAAAAATTAATGTTAAATTTTTTTTTTTGTGTATTTGCTTTGATTTTATATTAAAGATATAAACTGTTCAGGTACTTTAGTTTAGAGTACCTGAACAGTGAGGGCAACATTATAATTTACCATACACAGTACTTGTCAGACTTAGCACCTTGTAATTTATGGTTTTTTAGAAAGATCAAACAGTACCTGCCTGATAAAGATGTTCAAAATCCTAAAAAAGCAGATTCAGAAATGGTTGTCGGAATACTAAAAAAAGAGCTGTTAAAAATGTTTAATAAATATGTTTTTTTATTTTAGGAGAAACATTTTTCTTCTAAAAGAAAAGGAAATGAACATAACATCCAGTAATTGTTTTTCACATTACACTTTCTGTAATTAAAGAATTGAATAAGTAAAACATACTTTATCAATTATCTAATGTAGAAAAATTTAACTTTTAAACTTAAATCTATCTGTATTATTGTCTTAACACACACACATATCGGACATTACAGCCAAATGAAATTTTAGGTTTTTAATATGACTTAGATTTTTATAAACTTGGTGGTTTCTACTGATGAGAAAAGCAAGTCCTAAAAATTTAGGCATAAAACTTTTTAAAGTTCATAAGATACAATCATTTAAAATTTCTGATTTTTCCACAAAAAATATAACACATTAATGGTGATGCAAACCTGGAACCTTTATGCTTGATATTTATGTACAATTTTTTACATATTAAACATTGTCTATACTGACTTGGTAGAGTATGAAGAAATTTATGTTGAGAAATTATCTTTTGTTAAATTATTTGAAAATGTGGCTTATGTTTACAAATACAATTGATGCACTATTTAATGCATGGAATTATACAAAGAAATGCTTGATTATAAGGCATTTATTAGGCATCTTTGGTATTTTACAGAGAAATGCCTTCTCTCACTATTTTCTATAAGGTATCTAATTGTCATAAAGTTCAAAAATTGGTAAGGTATTCTGATTTTCATAAAGTTATATATAAAGTGAAATATTTGGCTTAATGATAACAACTGTTAATGAACAGCTATTTTTCTATTGAAAAGCATCATATTGAGACCACAACAATATAATTAATATAAAATAGCTTAAGTTTTAAAACTTTGTGTTATACATACATTGCTTAGACACAAAAGTGAAATGCATAAAGTTTTATGCAAATAAATATTTGCTTTTAATTTGATGGTTCTAAAAATTATTTGATTGTATACTTTTCAATTTTTTCATTTTAGACAATCAATGTTGATTAGCAACATTTAAATAATTATTTTGAGCTCTGTATTTATATATAAAGGTTCCTAATTACTTGCTGAGTCTTGTACATCATCAACTCTATTCTGGACCTTGATGTTACCTCAATAAAATTTAAAATTTGAATAAACTTTTTTTTTCAGGTCCAAATATATAGTATTAAATTGGATCTTATAGATTTTCACTATCTCATCAAATTTTTCATCATCTTCAGAAATCATCAGCCCATTGGACTTTTATCATCCATTGATCAAATTTTTCATTGTCATCAGAAATCATCAGCCCATTGGGCTTTTATCATCCATTGATTAACGAACCATTTAATTCATAATTGGCACCTTGTTTCTCTTAGTATTAATATCCCTTTTTTCTAGGAACTTAATTAGAAATTTATTCAAAAAATTATTTTTTTGTTTAGTTGTCCAAAATGTACTTAGTTATTACAAAATTATAAAAATGTTGATTTTCTTGTACAAGGGAAATACTTATTGTAAAGAAGGAGAGCGTCTTTACAATAAGTAAATCCCTCATAATTAGTAATAATTTTTATTATTTTAATGTTTGGACTCAGACACCTAATAATGTCAAATTGACAAAATATGAGTTTTTGTTTGGCTTTTGTTTAACTATTTAAAATTAATGTCAGACTAAATGGAATGGCCATCTACCAAGAAGAGTACCTCAACAGTGTATAAGTGCTTGGTTCCTTCTCGAACATTTCAACAATAAAAACTATGTGTTTTAGTCTTAATCTTATCACATTGTGCTAAATTAGTAACAAATGGGATAAACTTGTAAATAAACAAGCACAAAAGATATCACTAGTACCAAAAGACATTAAACAAAGTTTAGTGTGAAAATTTAAAAAAATTGCCTGAGAAAAAAGAATATTAAGGTTGTACAAAAGTTAGCTTTTGGCAATACACAAAAAAATCACCAAATATATTGTTACAGAGTTGAAGGATTTTTCTTTTTTTATTATTGGTGAACCCTAGTAGTTTTTGAATTAAATAATTTATTTTTTTGAATTATATAAATGTATTAAATTATGTTATATAATATATTATATATATATTATATTATATGGTATATATTATATTATGTTATTTTAAAAATAACTTTTTTTAATTTGACTTTATTTTTTATTTTAAATTAACTAAATATTATAAATAGTAAATAAATTAATAATAATGAATATTTTTTTTATTATTATTAATGTTATACAAAAATTATATAATTTACGTATTATTGGTTTGTTGCTTTATTGTTATTAAAATTAAAATAAAGTCTTTAAAAATTGAGTTTAAACACATTATAATGTTATTAAGATAAAAAATTTGAAATGCAAGCCGTCATTTTACCCTTTTTTTTTAACGTATCAGCATTTTGTCTGTTAACATATCAGCATTTTGTTTTTTAACATATCAGCATTTTGTCTGTCACAAATTTCTTCAGCTTGGTTGGTGTTGTTAATGGTTATTATAGAATATTAGTTATAGATTATAGAATATTTATTGACAATTTGAGTAATAACTTTTATTTATAGATGTTTAAAAACTTTTTTTTGTCTTTTAAGTGATTTTCTTGATTTAGACTATATATGTTTATAGAGAAATAATAAAACTACCATTTTGAGAGAAAAAGCAGTATATCCAATTTTAGCCAAAATTGAGATATTGCTAAAAGGGGATTAACAATGTGGTTTTTTAAAGGGTTTTTTTTTTTCAGTAAAAAAGCAGTATGTATATATTGAAATATATATATATTGTAGTATATATATATATTGTACAGTATATATATATTGTAGAGCAAGATAACAATTGACAGATGACTTAAAAGATTGCAAATTATATGAATTAGGAAAGCAAGATGAAGGAAGTGAATTCCAAAGAACTGATATTCGAAACATTCCAAACATACTAGGTTGATCTAGGTTCACTTATTGATCATAAAACTTTGAAGTTCTCAAACATTTTTGTGCTGATCTAGTTTTTATGTATAGTTGGCAATAATCTTTTTTTTTTTTTTTTTATTAATATTTTAACTCAGACAGATGATAACAGATGACACACAGTAGTTTTACTTTTCTACAAACAGTATTTGGTTTTTTACCATTTACCATTCATGATTTGTACAGTGTTCTTCTATGTTGGATTTTTTTCAATGTATATTTACTTGCTAGTCATGACAATTATTTTCCAATCACTTATAACTTGGTTGTTCTTATTATACTATTTTCTCAAAAGTCTTTTTTTTTATTTATAAAAAACCAGATAGAAAATGATCTAGTTAATATTTAGCATGTTAACAGAGCCAAAAAAAAACAACCAAAAACAGACTAAAGTTGATGTGCAGAGTTTTATTTATTAATCATTTAGTTTATAGTTCATAGACTAATAATTTTTCTGTATGTGCATAAGTATGTTTTATTTCAAAGGTAATATTGTTTATGCAATTATTCTGTTGGCTTTGTATGCAGCTGCATCTGTGTGTGTATATACATTTATTCATATATCAAGCCTTCTCAGAAGACGCGTGTGGTGGAATACCTTATATGACCACACATATATTATTTTGACTTAACAAATGATAAAATTACAAAATTATAAAATTAATAAAATGATTAAAAAATTAGCTAGATAAAATAAAAGCATAAAATTAATATGTTTTTATTTTAATTTAAAAGTGTTTCACTATAAAGAATTTAGAAAAAATCATAGTTTCAAAGTTATTAATTCAAGCTAATTACTTTGATATTTTTTAATGTCTACAAAGCAAATATAACATTTTTAAAAAAATTAGCTTTATTAATTATTACTTTTGAATTATTTAAGTTTGAATTTTTGAGACACTTCTAAATTTAAAAATATATTAGTTTTATGCTTTTATTATCTCTGGTTTATCCTTTATTTATTTTATTATTCATTAATTTCGTAAGTTTATGGTTTGTTTGTTTTTAATTTTCTCTTTAAATTAGTTTCAATTTTTCAGTTCAATTTTTAAAACACGCAAATTATCAATATATGCAAAAAACTATGACCAGTCTATATATATATATATATATATATATATATATATATATATATATATATATATATATATATATATATATATATACACATATATATATATATATATATATATATATATATATATATATATATATATATATATATATATATATATATATATATATATATATATATATATATATATATATATATATATATATATAGTTTTTTTATTATTCAATAGACTGCCTGCCCCAACCAAACCCTCAGTACTGTCAATGTAGCAGTACTCCTTTGTAGCAGCAGCCTGTAAGATAGTCGATGTAACAACACTCTGCGCATGTTTTACATTAAAAAAATAAAAACATTTTCTATATTTTTAAAAACATTCTTGTATTTTAATTTGCATTTTTGTGGTTTTTAAATAAACAATAAATTTAATTAGTTTTCTCAATTAAATTAATGTGTTTAGACGTAATCTGTACTTAATTTTATCTTACTAGATGTAAAAATTGCCTAAGTTTGATCACTTAAGCTTTGAATGTTCATATATTATTCATATATCATATATTATTAACAGTATGCATTATTTCAAAGTTCTTGTTTGCAAACAAATTATTTCAGCAGATTTCAAATAAACATCATTTTTTATGAATCTTATGTATGAAGCGAAAAAAAATATTATTGTTGGAAAAAAAGTTTTTAAAAGTTGAAATACGAAATAAAAACAAGTAATAGAATATAATATGTTATTTGATTCTAAATAACCAAATTTACATGATGACCGAACTTTGTATGATTGTCATGGTACCAAACTTTTTTGATTTCATGGCAATTTTATGGTATACATATGTATTTATTTATTTTTACTAGTTTTTAAAATTTTAGGTTGTTGTTCAACTATGGAAAACTGAGCCACCATCATATCACTGTGCTATTGTTATTTATGATGTGACAAGTAATTTTGCTTTTGATACATTAAGATTTTTATAATTGAAGATTGTTTGTTTGTTGTACTTTAAGATTTGTTTTGCTATAATACTGTTTTTGATCAAAATGCTTGTGATAAATCTTTTATTATTTTTATAAAGGAATCAGAAAGTGCTCTTAAATTAAATAAATTAAATTGAAATCAAATTGGACCAATCTCTTTCCTTTAAATTATTATAACTATTATAGTTACTATAGTTACTTTATCTTTAATAAGTTATTTTTATTATCGATTAAGATTAATTAATAATTAATATAGTTAAATAAGTGTTTATATATAAGTTTTTTTTTTTTTTTTACCAGATCGAAGTTCTTTTGCATGTGCATTGAAGAAACTTGAATATATTCGCCAACAAAGTTCAAATGATTTGCCTGTGTTATTGTTAGCAAATAAAATAGATACAGACAAAAAAAGGTAAAGCATTGTTTTTTGTTACAGTTAATGGCAATTTGTAACACACAAATTGCCATTAACTGTGCAAACAGTCTCACAGATCCAATCGTTTTTTTTTTTATCTGAGTATTAAACTTCTAAAAAAGCAACCCAAATTTATAGCTTTACATTATATTATATAGTATTTTATTTTATTGTAGTTATATATTTATAGTTTTATATTATATTATATAATATTTTGTTATATAATATGTAATACATTGTAATTTGTGTTGCTTTTAATATTTTTAGTAGTATTTTTTACTTCTTTAACTTAAATTGTTACATTTATTTGGATTGTATTTTTTGACCCAGATTCAAAATGATGCTATGTATCACTTTGAATCTTGGTCACACTTAAAAAAATACATCTAGGTTCATCTGCTGATCATAAAACCATAAAGTTCTCAGTTTTATGCTGATCTAATTATCATTTATAGTTGGCTTATAATCTTTTTTTATATTTATCCTTTTTGAATCTGGACAACACTTTCTAGCTTAATCCAGGTCAACCTTCAGATCATAAAACCTAATAGTAAGTTCTTAAGTACTGATCTAGTTATCATGTTTAGTTGACTTAAATTCTTTTTTTAAGTTAATCTTTTTTAACTCAGATAAATGATAACAGATAAAACACAGTAGTTTTATTATTTCTACAAACAGTATTTGGTTTTTTAAACATTTACCAATCATGGCTTGTACAGTATTCTATATCCTTATTTTATAAATATTGTAAAAATGGCTGTTACTTAATTATAGGTACTTTATATTTATTTTAATTAAAAATGTACAATAATACAAAATAAGAATGTTGAATGAATGTAAATAAAACTAGAAACATAAAATTAGAAAAAATACATATTTATGCAACATCATTTATTAGAAAGAAGAAATGATAAATAACATGAAATTTTATCATGAAATATTGAGAATAGTTGCAGTTATTAAATTTTTTTGTGAAAGAGGCTTGACACATAAAAGTCATGATGAAACATTTATGGGAATAATTGATTTGATTGCAAAATTCTAACCATTTTTACAAAAGCACTTTGTTACATGTCAAACCAAAAAAACAAAAGCAACAATTATCCAAAACAGTTTATGAAGAGCTCAAGTTATGGGAAAATGAATACTGAGACATTATAAATCAATTTAATAACAAAAATATAAAATATAATGCAACTATTGCAGATTCAACACTAGATGTAACAAATATTGACTAGTTATTGTTATAAAGAAAAACCATGTGAAAGATTTTTAACATTCATTTATAGATGGGATGTAAACAAATGAAACTTTTTTTAAAGATTTGGAAATAATCATTTCTTTTTCCAAATGTTTGTCTAATATATTTTTATTTTCATTCCGTGTAATCATGTTAGTATAGTTTTGAAATGTTCTTTATAATTTTCATGTTCTTTTTCTTTTACAATTTTCATGTTTCTTTGTAATTCTAGTGTTCTTAAAACATCCTTCCAGTTATAAAACCCCCCCAATGTGAGAAACAAAATTTTGCACAAAGCAATAAACTTTTACCTTTTTTTAAGTAAGATCTAGTTACAGATTATTATTTTTTTAATTTTTTTTAAAATATTAATTTGAGAAACTTCTGATTTGGTCTTTGACCTACTGGAATCTATATAATTGTTATTCTCATTAAGATATTTGTTCCCGCTAAGATATTTCTGTTCAAACATGGTTAACTGAAACTGACCATAAAAAAATAAACATTTTAACAGAAACTGACTATAAAAGCACAAAGCTGTCAAATGTTAATTTTATTTAAAGGTTAATTTATGATGATATGATAAAAGAATATGCTACAACAAAGTGCCAAAAGAAGTGTGGAGAACAAATTATGCTCCTAATAAATGATGTTGCGTATATACATATTTTATTCAATTTTATTTTTCTAGATTTATTTACAAATATTCAACATTCTCATTTTGTATTATTGTACATTTTCAATTAAAATAAATATTTAAGTTCACAGAATTTTTTTGTTTAAAGTACCTATAATTGAGTAACAGCCATTTTTACAATATTTATAAAATAAGAATATAGAAGAACACTGTACTAGGCATGATTAGTAAATATATAAAAAACCAAATACTGTTTGTAGAAATGTTAAAGCTACTGTGTTTTATCTGTTACCATCTATCTGAGTTAAAATAGAGTTAACACAAAAAATAGAATTTAAGTCAACTAAACATGATAACTAGATCAGTACTTAAGAACTTACTATTAGGTTTTATGATCGGCAGGTTGACCTGGATTAAGCTAGAAAGTGTAACCCAGATTCAAAGTGATGCATAGCGTCACTTTGAATCTGGGTTAAAAAATATAATCTAAATAAATGTAACAATTTAAGTTAAAGAAGTAAAAAAAACTATTAAAAGTAACACAAATTACAATGTATTACATATTATATAACATAAAATATTATATAATATAATATAAACTATAAATATATAATTATAATATAATAAAATACTATAAATTTGTGTTGCTTTTTTAGAAGTTTTATACTCAGATAAAGAAAAAAACCATTGAATCTGCGAGACTGTTTGCACTGTTAAAAAACCATTGAATCTGCGAGACTGTTTGCACTGTTAAAAAACCATTGAATCTGCGAGACTGTTTGCTCTGTTAATGGCATTTTGTGTGTTAAAGGTTAAAGACAAAAGATTTGTTGAGACAACTAAGTTGAAATATTTGTACCAAAAAAAAAAACATTCTCAGCTATCAATACTTATGCCTTTTAAAAATGTTTACAAAATAATTTTAAATCTTCAGACTACACAAACACCATAATAATATTGAATAATGATATTTTATTTCATTTTTATTTCAGACAAGTGATGTTACATGAAGGTGAACTTGCTGCTCTTCAGCACAGCGCACTTTTTAATGAGATAAGTTGTACTGAGGCTACTAATACAAGAGAGGTTTATTTAATTATTTGTTAAATTCTTTTATTGTTTGTGAACACATAGGGTGGAAAGCTTTTTCTAAGGTGATTATCATGTAATAGTTTGGAATTTGTTTATTTGTACAGAAACCTTGTTCTTTAAGGTTATTGTTTCAGTTGATAAAATTGAGGTAGGGTTAACGGATCCCTAATATTATCAAAAAAATACCAGAAATACCAGAATTTTATCCATACCAGAAACAACAATGTCAGGCAAGTCCAGCCTCTAATTTAATATATGCTTCAGAGTAGTTAAGGGGTATTTTATTATGCTTTATCTAATAGGTATAGAATACACATTATAAAAAAAGTCATTAGAATTAAATTAAACTGTAATGTTTCATTTAATTATTTTAAACATGTCAACATCATTCCCGTCAAAAAATCAAGATAACCTCTTCGAGCTGAACGGGAGAAATGGGTTTGAAAGCCTGATATCAAGATCATAAAAATATAAAAATTGAAATCAAAACATTATTGCCGAAAAAGTTATTCAACATTTAATTTTACTACTATAAACAGCAATAAAGGAAATGATTTAAAGTTATTAATTTAGAATTAAAAAATTTGGTATTTCTAAATAAATGTTTCTTTAATTCACTTACAAGAACATGATTTTTCATCCAAGTGGTTTTTAAAGTCTTAAAGCAATTTTACAAATGTTTGCTGTTAAAATCAACAACACATTTTTGAAGTTGAGTTTCATATTCTGGATGTGAAATAATACGCTTATACCTTTACCAATTATCCTGAAATTGATGATTCAAAGCTTCGGTTGTTTGCTCATTATAAATTCCTAATTAAGTGTTCTTTCTCATGATAAAATCCTTGATATGAAAAAACATGGCATGTACTTTTGGAGTCATACTTCCTGCTGGATGTGCCAAAAAAGAGTGCTTGAAAAGAACAATTTTTTCATTAAAATTATGTTCCAAAACATTTCCAAAACATGCCTTTACAACACCATTGAATTTTTGTAAGGCATCAATGAGGGGGAAAATGTGAAATGCTGATTTCTCTTCTGCCAGTTGCTGAAGAAGATCATCATTTTTGAGCAACTTGCAGAGGTCATGGAGGTCAAATCATTGCCAATGAATTTACCTCCATGGTAAAGCTGTGGGTTAATGTGAAGAGCAGTTGTCCACTATCAGTATGAGGCCAGAAATTTTAAGAGTTTTGTAAAGGTGGTTGACAACCCCAAACAAAAGATGTAGTTTCATAGGTAGAATCAAATCCAAAACAAGGACAGCGTCATCTGCTTTAAGGTACATGAATGACATTTACATTTTTTTTTTTTGCATTCTAAAGAACTAAATGTTTGCAGTTCTTCAGATTTAATATTGGTGCAAGATAAGTGGAAGTGGAAGTGGCTAAAAGTGGAAGACGCTGTGCACCAATTGTATGGATGCTTGGATGAGTGTGATTGAAAACCACATAAAATATTGGCTTTTTTCATATCAAAAGACACCACAAATTCCTTTGATTGAGCCTTAAGGTGAAAGCCCAAGGTCAAGGTGAAAACATGGTTGAGGTTGGTGTAATTTTCTGACATTTTCTGACTAATTTGCTGGTTGCAACCAGTCTTTGGAGTTCTTTGTGGTTAAGAGTTGCTTTCTAGATGGTGAATTAATAATATCAAGCCTTGTATCTGTTTCTACAATCCCAAGAGAAATTATTTTAAATCACTACCATGTATTCCAAGTTTGATGATATGCTCAGAAATTATCTTTCTTTCCAAAATAACATAGTCAAGCAATTCATTAAAGTACTTATAGTGGATGGTTGTTTTTTCCATTTTTGACCTTTTTTCTTCCACTGTTTTAAGTTTTGAATGTATAAAAAAATTTGCAAGATTGTTATACCTAATTCAAAAATTTTGAGTTATTGTATGGTTCCGTAACTTTGATTTTTAAAACTTGATTGAGATTGGATGCTAGTTTCCTCATGTTAAAGTTGGACATTCCAATTTTAACATGTGTATTGGTTTGAATTTAAGCAAGAGTTTTATTAGTGCAGTCACTTTTGTGATAGCTTTAAAAAGTTGTCTAGCACTAAATAAAAAGAAAACTAATATAAATAAAACCTCATTACATGTATTTTAAAGTAAAATTTTAAAAGCAACACGAAGAGTCTTATGTGCTTTTTGGCTAATAACTGTGGCAGTTATTTAATCACTTTACTGTCTTTTGTTGCAAGTATTCTCATGTTTTCTCGGTATATGTACTCATTGCAAAAATATGAAATACCTTTGCCAAGAATTGAAAAGCATTTAGAGCATCTGTGGACACCGTTCACTTTCAAATTTTTGAAAGATTTCTAATGGATGTTTTTGATAGAGCTTAAGCTGATCAATTTGACAGATGAGAAAATGGCCCTTGTGGACATCTTTAAATAAATTCCTTCAAAATTGAATAAAGGTGAAATATTTATGTCCTTGCTTATGTCTTTTCTTCTCATTGCTGAATGACATCCATCACAAATTCCTCTAGGATCTCTTGAGTCTTGAAAATTTAATATCTCTTCCAAGCACTGTCTTCACTCTTTAATTTTAAAAGGTTTTACCTCTCTGTTAGCTTTGTTCATACCAAGAAAACAAACAGTTTTGCCATTTTCTTCGTGAGATTTTGCTTGGGTAAGTATGATTTTGGATACCGATAAAAATAGCGTTATTTGCAAAATTGGTTTAACATAAAAGTGAGCCCTTTCCTATGTAAATTATGAAAATATTGTTTTGCTATAAAGCTTTTTGTCAAATTAGAGCAAATTTAAAAATATTTTTTAAAATTTTAGCAATAATTTAATCATAGATGCTGTAGAAAAATTTTTTAATGCTGTCATTTCCTTCATTGCTTTATACAGTAATAAAATTAAATGTAGAATAACTTTTTCGGACATTTTGATTTCAATTTTTAAATTTTTATGATCCTGATATCATAGGTTTTAAAACCCCATTTCTCCGGGTCAGCTTTAAAACCCCATATCCCATTTCTCCGGGTCAGCTTTAAAACCCCATATCCCATTTCTCCGGGTCAGCTTTAAAACCCCATATCCCATTTCTCCGGGTCAGCTTTAAAACCCCATATCCCATTTCTCCGGGTCAGCTTTAAAACCCCATATCCCATTTCTCCGGGTCAGCTTTAAAACCCCATATCCCATTTCTCCGGGTCAGCTTTAAAACCCCATATCCCATTTCTCCGGGTCAGCTTTAAAACCCCATATCCCATTTCTCCGGGTCAGCTTTAAAACCCCATATCCCATTTCTCCGGGTCAGCTTTAAAACCCCATATCCCATTTCTCCGGGTCAGCTTAAAGAGGTTATATTGATTTTTTGACGGGAGTGACATGTGACCTCCAGAATTAATAACTCAGAATTCTTTTATTTAGCAAATCTTTCTTGAAATTGTGAAATAGAGATTATGCAATCATTGTATTTGTAAAAATAATACAATAACTGTATCAACTTTATAAAATATATCGAGAAAAATTATAATCAAGTTTTATAAAAAAATAATTTTGGTTTTGTTATAAATTGTAATAAATAATTACAGAATAATAGGAAAACAAGATGCGTATAAATCTCTATATGATTAAACCACATCGTAAATATATCACTGTTATGACTCGAGAAAAGGCTGTTTTTTTCTTTTTTTATCAGGTCTTTTTTTTTATTATCTATATAACCTCAAAAAAATTAAACGATTGTTTAAATTTTTTTATGGTTATATTAATGCATCATGTTATTAAGCATTAATATTGCATCATGCTATTAAGCATTAGTATGGTTATATTAATGCAACATGCTATTAAGTATTTATATATATTAAGCCCATAAGGTAATTAATCCATAAGTTAAGTAATTATAATAATCCATAAGTTAATAATATAATGATATATTAATTAATGTATTTATTTTCTATTTTTGTTTTAGAGTTTAACTTTATTTATTGGATCGTTGTTATCATTAAATAACGAACTTTTTTCTGAAGAATAGAATTTATTTTTCCACTTTTTTAACACGATATTTTGTAGATCCATGTTTTTTAACGCTTTTGTATATAATTGCGACCTTTTGTAATTGTAAGCATTACTTATCGAGTAATTTTATATTCACATTATTTATAATTTTTTTTATTTTTTATCAAGTATTTTTATATATTATTTTTTGTATTATTTATAATAATATTTAAGTATTTATTATTAGGAAATTTCTAAATTATTCAATCATTGTTTTAGCAATATTTATTACTGCAATAAAATACAGTTTAAAATATATTTTTTATGATATTTTTTTAATAGCTTACTTTTTCTAATTTTTTATTGATTTCTATTTTATCTACCCCCATATTACTCAGTAAAAGCCGTTATTTTATCTAATACTTGTTTGCGGTGTACCTAGAGGTAGCAAGATCCAAAATATTTATGACGTGAAGAATAGTGAGTTCTTTGAATGTGTTTAGAAAACCCATATAAAAGATGTATACAAATTGACTACATTTTACAATATCTTTATTTCAATTTTGTTTTTATCGTTAATCAAAACAGATCACAAACAGTTTTTGATTGCTTATTTATCCTTAAAAACCAATAAAAAAATTATCCTAAAATTTAGGCAAGCTAAGTAATTATAATTTTTTGAATTTGATAGAAAGAACAAGTGCCTATTCTTTAAAGGAAAGTTCTGAGTGTGTATAGAGCAACCAATTTTCGTCTTCAAACTTGTTTTAAGACTTGTGGTCGTGTAGAGAGAAAAAAAGAAGACTAAGATCTAAAAGAACACCAGTAGCAATAAGGGCTGTCATGCTTGTTAGAAACCCTGTGAGATCAATCAGGGAATTGAGCATGGAGAATACTACAAGAGAACACTCTTAAAAGATGATGCTGTAACTAGGTCATTGGCTCGAACTGCTATTCCATTACTTGCTGCATTATAAATAAAAGTTTGAATAGATGCAAACATATCCTTGGTTTTCCTACAAAAGGTATGCCAATTTTACTGTTTTTAGATAAAAACCGCCGAAATAAAGGTTTAGTCACAGTTTTAAAACAAAACATCCTAATTAGGTAATGGATATTGCTGTTATATCCTCAGATAAAAAATATCTCTCGTTTTTGTTGAAAAGGGACCAAACTTGACACCATTGCCTACATAGATATTTTAAAAACATACCTAAAACTTATGTTGGACTCAAATTTTAACCCTGATAACAAGTTGGTGTTTACCCGAAATGAGGTTCCATGCCACACATCCAAAAAACACGGGAATGGCATTTAGATATTTTAACACATGAATGAGTTAAAATATCTAAAATTTTTGAATAGAACAGAATTTCATCAGACCGCATTGAAAAGACATGCTACACATGTTTTCGGAGAAAATATTAAAATGAGATTCAATAAATTAAAGTTTGAAGGTCATTTAAATTTTCATTTCATAGTTTATCTTCTAAGAAAATTATTTCAAACATTTTAAAAACTTAACCGTGCTATTTTTTGAACTGATGTCAGCTGGCACGACAAAAATAAGATGTCAGCTGACAAGAACAAGGTGAAGAACTATGAAAATTAAAGATTTCATGATACTCTCTGCAGAGTATCATGAAAATGTTGATAAAAAACAACTAGTCTCAAGTGGTTCGATGAAACCACTTTTTGTTACTTTCACACAATTTTGTTTTTAAAAAGTTCGTTCCATTACAATCTTTTGTCAAGTGCTTTCACATGCTATTTAATGATAATTAGTTTTATATGTAAAGTTGAAAATATAAACTTGCTTCGGGTAGTAAATGGTTGTTGATACGCAACAATTCAGTTTTGACATTTGTTTTTCTTGTTTTTTTGACATTAGGACGATATGTAATACAGAATTGATTAAAACTTGGTTCGTCTACTATTTTTAAGTATATATTTACTTATTGGTTTTAACAAAAGAGATTTTCAAAAATGGATTTAGATTTAACTCATTTTTCCACATAAAATTTAAAGCATATTACATTAAACACATTAGTCTTATATATATATTGAAAATTTTTAGAGTTTCACACCTAAATTATTTTAAAATCTTATGGGCGCCCCCGTGGGGTGTGTTTTTCCGTAAAATATCAGTCTATGAAAGTAGTCTTACTTTTTTTTTTTTTTTTTTTTTTTTTTAAGGTGCCCCAAGAAGTCCTTACGGTCTTATCACAGAGCACCGCGGAAGAGCATTTAATAGGAAGTTCACGCCTCCTTCCCAACCGATGTCGCATAACTTGCCCAGAAATAGGGTTAGAACCACGGATCTTACGTTTCTGAGGCAAGTGTGCTACCACTGCGCCACGGCTGTTATAAAACGACTAATTTTTGTTAAGATAAATTTTGCGAGTGTACAAACTATAGTTTTTAGTTTAGGACTAAGACTTTATTTATTAACTCACTATTTCGCTAAATATGCAATAAATAACTAAATATGCAATAAATAGTAAACATTTTTATCTAACTTAACTTTTTTGACCAATTAAAGTTAGTATTAGTTTGTGTGTCTCAACCCTCCTAATTTTTGTTTTAAGAATCTTTTAAAATCTGACGAATCCCTAATAACATTATTAAAAATAAAACTAAAAAAAAATAAAATAAAAGATCAATAGGTAAAATTATAATGAGATTGATTATTGATTAATGATAACTTTGAAGTAAGAGTTTAATTACAAAAATTGGTCTAGTATTAGTAAATGTAAGACCAATTGTATTTTAATTTGTTGAAAAGATATTTATTGAAGCTGCGTTTGTTACATATTTATCTGAACATATATATCTTCGCTTTAACAGATATATATATATATATATATATATATATATATATATATATATATATATATATATATATATATATATATATATATATATATATATTACATTATGCTTTTTTAAGTTTATGTGTTTTACAAAATATTATTTTATGATATAAAATGTTGAATTAATAAAAATTTCAGAATAAGCAAATAAACCTTTCCTAAATATTGAAAAACATGGTGGATTCTTTTTCATTTTTTTTCATTTAATATTCCTGATGCTGTTCTTTAATGATAAAATTCAAAGAGTAATATAATAAACTTTTAGATATTAATTGTAGTAAAAAATTTGTTATGAATAGGTCAAATTAAAATTTTGTGCAATAAAATTGCAGAGTTTTATATAAAACGAGAACCTTACTTAACTATATTAATCATGCCGTACATATAACATTTACAAGTTTCGTAAATTAATATTTACAAGTCTCGTGAGTCAAAATATATATAGTGAAATTTATAATTAAATAGTACAGGCCGGACTTCAAGAAGATCGTAATGATCTTATCACGAAGCCCTTACAATGTGTTTGATATATTATTATGATTATGTTAAATATAATTATATATTAAGTACACCTATGTTTATATATTCTTTAAATTTAGCTCATAATAAAAAATAAACTCAAAATAAGCTCAGTATAAAATATTAGACATAACTAGCAGCATAATAACTAAACTTGATAAGAAAAAATCAAGTGTTTTTTTTGTGTGTAATAAACACATTTTGATATATTGTTTGCGAAATTTGAGAAAAAAAAAAGATTCATTTAGATAATACACATAAACGAGTCAGTTCACTTTGTAGTTGATATATATGTATTTTAATTTATAGTCTTAGAAGAATTCTGAGTATCTGTTTAGATTCAGTATCAGATTTTTTAACTTTTTTTTCAAGAAATTTTGATTGCAAATTGAATCTAGATTGCAGATTGATTTATTTTTAGTTACTAGTCTGTTGTATAAATAAGGACCCCGTTATGAAATTGAGAACTGGGAAAGTTTTGTTTTTTTGAAAGGTGTAATAAAGTTTCCTTTTTCTCTTGTGTTATATTTATTAACGTTATTTATAAAAAAGTTATTTAAAAAATGGTTTGGTACTTGACCTAATTTAAATTTTAGCATAAACAATATATTTTGGTAAATATTAATTTGATAAATATTAAGCACATTCATTTCTTTAAATAAGGGTTCAGTGTGTGTAAATTTGTCTTTATGGTAGATAAGTCTAACAGCATGTTTCTGACGTCGATATAAAGTTTTCAATTTGGTTATATGCGTACTCGCCCAAGCTATATTCGCATATATGAGGTAGCTGTGTATAAAAGTGAAATATATAAGTTTTAAATTACTTTGCGACAGCATAGGTTTTGCTTTATAAAGTAGACCTATGTTTTTTGATATTTTAGTGTTTAAAGCATTTATGTGACTTTTCCAAGATAAATTTTCATCAATTATAACTCCTAAAATCATAACTTACTGCCGTATTTACTATTTTAATATTGTTTAGGGTGGTGCCCATACCACTTTTTAATATTATTAGAATGTTATTATTTTAATAATCGTAGCCATTGAGAACTCGTTTTTCTAATGAATCTTTTGAAAAAGTGCCTTAATTTACTATAGATCCTAGTTCTAATCGGTTCTGACATATATTAACTATATATCGGGTGGACACGGAAAAATCCGGTCAACTTTAAATTAAGATTTCTCTAAAACCACAAATGCTTTTTATTTCAATTCTTTTATTATTAAATGTATTTACATAAATTAGAGTTTCAACTTAATTTTAAGGGGCTTGATGGGTTGCTTGGCAAGAGATCGAACTTTATAGCGGGTTAATGCCATCACTTTACAGATTTTTTCTTATTTCACCATATTGGTGGCATTAATCCACTTTTTTTGGAAGTCCTTTTTATTATTTGTTAGTCCACCTGTCTTACGAAGAACTCCTTTAACTATTGCCCCAAAATCTTCAATCTTGCGCTCTTCAGGACGATTTGGAGGATTCGCATCTTTAGGAACAATTTTCACATTATTATCTTTGCACCACTGTTTAACTTTTTTAGAATAGTGAGAGGCAGCAAGATCGGGCCAAAAGAGACATCGGTATTTGTGTTTTTTTATAAAAGGCAAAAGTCTTTTTTAGAGGCATTCTTTGATGTAGAGATTGGCAGTCAAAGTCTTTTTAGTGACAAAACAAGAGGACTACATACCACAGCTACTTGCTTGCCACACAAGGAACTTGTATGCAAATTTTTCTCGTCAAATATATTTAAATTGATCATCGACAGGTTTATCTTTGTTTTCATAGTAAAACTGTTGACCAGAAAGTTAGGAAAAATCCGCCTTGCAATACGTTTCGTCGTCTTCAATTATGCACATATTTTTATCCGCCATTATTTTAACCAACTTCTTTGCGCGTCGAATGCCTTTAATTTCACACTTTAAGCTTCTCTTAGGTGTATTTTTTTTATGAAATGCTTTAATTCCAGCATTTTTAAGTACTTTTTTGATATAAGAACGAGAAGTCTTAAATTTTCTTGCTAGATCTCGCTGTGACTGATTTGGATTTCTTGCTATTGAACGTAAAATCGACTTTACCTTTTTGGATTTATGGAAAGTTTTTTTTCTTCCACTTCCAAGATTTCTTTCGAAGCTTTGAGTAGTCTTGAACTTGTTTATAATATCTATGACTGTAGATTTTGGGACATTTGTGCGTTTAGCAATCAAGCGATAGGAAGTCGATGGATTTTTGCAAAAAAAATTTACAACTTTTTTACGCACCTCAACTTGTTTCCAAAGCATTTTGCAAATCATTAATTTGTAAACAAAAATTTATCAACACCATTTAAGATAAGGAAGTAAGGTTTAATTAAAAAAAAAATTAAATAAAAAGCATTTGTGGTTTTGGAGAAATCTCAATTTAAAGATGACCGGATTTTTCCGTGTCCACCCGATATAGTCGTCAAAACACAATATTTCTAACAATTTTCACAAAAAATACTAGAATTCCGACCAAGAAAGAGCTTATATTTATGGAAAATTGCTAATAAATAATCAGAACAGATCCTATTATTAAACTATAATATTCATTTCACCTAAAAAATGTATTAATTTAAAATCTTATTTCAATTTGGACGAGCGATTATGATTTTAAGATTTTTTTTTTAAAAAAAGAATATTCGGTCTGGGTTTTTTCGCTACAAACATTTATAATTTATGATTATCATTTTAATATTTTTTGTCTTTTCATAATCCACAGACCTGACCATTTAACGGAAATATGTCGTAGTCAACAAAATATCTTAAAGACGCAATAATTGCCTTAACTACACCGAATAGTTAAAGTAAATTAATTGCAAGGATAAATTCTTAACAATAGCGCTAGTAGTTTTCAAAACAGGTTTACATCAAGTTGCTTTTTTTATTTAAACAAAAGCTCAGTTTTCACTTATGAAGTAAAGATTTTTTTACAAAACATTACAACTATTATTTTTTAATCATATTTTAAAAACATGCAAAACCACTTTACATGTACAAAACTTTGGCAAAACTTCACATCTTTGTAACATACCGTTCACTGCCAAAACTTCAACTTCGCTGCCAAAACTTCACTTCACTGCCAAAATTTCACCTTCGCTGCCGAAACTTCACTTTCACTGCCAAAACTTCACCTTCACTGCCAAAACGTGAGGGTAATTAATAAAAAAAGCATTCAGTTTCACTTGTACTAAATTTATCAACAGTTTTTCCATTTGTACTAATAATATATTTTAGTTTCGAGAGTTATGATTATGTGAAGTATATAATTAAAATAATAATTATAACAATATATTATTTCCTGTAAAAATATTTTCAATGAAGTTATGTGTTGCTATAACTAATTTTTTAAAAAGTTCTGTTTTTTTCTGTAAACAGGAAGTTATATTAACTTCAATATTTTTGTAAAAATTAATTGTGAAAAGAGTTATTTAGAATAAGGATAATTTAGTTAGGTCATTTTTTGTTATAATTTTTTAAAAGGTAACTATTTTTATGTCTGCATTTAGAATTTATGATTTTTTATTTAATAAATTTTTTTATTTAAATAGTTATTCTGATATTTTTTTGTAAACACAGCATACATTTTTGGAAACATTATTACAGGCAGAAGCAAGTTTTAGAAGAGACCAATTTTATTCAAAATTAATACTTTTTCTTTTAGATCCCAAATATATTGTTATAAATCTATCGTGGCCATGGGTAATGTTTTTACCGAACAATTTGGACAACTAATAATGTAAATGAGAATTGTCATGCGTTCCAATCGACTTAAATATGGCGCGATAAAATATCTGGTTAAAGAACAGTGCATCTGAAGTTAGTTAATTTTTTTTTTAATTGACACATGAATTTGTAAATTTAAACAGTATTAGTTGATGCTTTATAGTCTTAAATAAAATCTAAAATATTAAAAAAAATTATAATAAGATATTTAAACGTGTTTAAATCTATCAGTATTTAGTGCCAGGAAGTTACATTATTAACATTCGTGGGATTTATTTTAAGAAAAAAAACATGTATTTTACAAACTTTTTATTAAAAAACTTGTCATTATTAGGTATCATTTATCTTATTGTCCAACATATGGTAAAAGAGAATAGTTGTTATCTAAAAGCAATGACCACGAATTATGCCACCAATCAAAATATGCTCGTTCTGCTACGCTTTTAAAATATATACCATTAAGTACTTTAGAAAGCAAAAGCATGCAACAAAAATAATAAAATCTGTACTATCTATGCAATATAGGAAAGTGACAATAGTAGATGCTATTGTTAACATGTTTAAACTAAGCAAATATGAAATGCACAAGGTAAAAAAAGGAAGAAAAAGTTATAGTCTACAATACAGAAATCAGGCTAGTTAATATGGCTTCAAATATAGCTCTTTGTATATTGGCATTTTGTATTTCAAAAGCACAAACATAAAAACATGTTGATAATAAATAGAAATAAAAAAGAAAAAAGTTAATTTACATTTTGGATATTATTGTGCTCTTTTGAAAACCTGCGTTTGTATATATTTTTGTGAATTATGTATATATTTGGATTTTTATATATTGTTGTTTTTTGTCAAAGAAGCTTATACTGGATATATCCAAAATAATAGATAACTATAACTGATATCTTTGGTTAAATAAGAGGAACCAATAATTTCTATAGTTTATAATGTCCAAATACTTTGTTTAAATTTGGTATATTAGATTTTCTTTTTTGACTGTTTTCAGTATAAGAAGGAATCGCTATGTTTGAGGAGGCTGCTCTTTTTTATTTATTGTTATAACCTTCCTTTAACCCTATAATGTTAAATCACAAACCTTAACAAAAAAGGTCATTGTACAGATAAGTTTTTACTTTGTTTCATTAGTATAAAATATATTCAAAATAACAATAAATTTAATTTTTTTAATTAAAAAATTTTAAATGAGATTTTTCAAAGATAAGCAGAGTAAATTCCAATCGAAAATAATTGTTTTAAGTTATTAAAATGTGCATTTATATTTAAAACCAATCTCCTTAAGCATAGTTTTGTTCATCGTGGTTTTGGCTTTCTATAATCATTTCTATCATTTGGAAAATTAATTTCTGTTGTTTTGTTTTTCATCTTGAAAATCAGTTATCAATATATTTTGCAAGATAAGATATTTTTCACTATTGCTTACTATTGTAAACAATAGTGAAAAATTGTATACCATTGTTAACATGAAACAAAAAATTATTTAGATTTTAAATAGAATTAAAAAAATTTAAAAAATATAATTAAAAAAATATTAAATATTAAAAAATACTTAAATAGTAAAAAAGATGTTTACGTTAAATGCTCATTCAGCACAATCAATAACATCACACACTGAATCCTTTTTGTATTGTTGTAACTGTAGATAGTTTCATGTGTCATGTTATTTTTCAGAAAAAATCCTGAATAAATTTAATTACTCAGAAGAAATTAAACATTTTGTTACAAAATTTGACAAACTTTTTAATAAGTATGTTTTTATTTATTCTTCTTTTTGTTATTGTTTAAAGCTTTTACTATAAGTTTTTATCATCGGTAAGAACAGAATCAGAAAAAACGCTAATAAGCTTTTTGTTGACATATCATAAATGGCTTCTCATTTTCTTCAGTTTTTCTCACTTTTTAGAACCTTTTTTAAATTTTCCTGTAACCACTGGTTTTTAGGATTCATCAATATATGACTAATATAGAGCAATTGTGTTTTTATAAATTGCTGCATCGCTGTCTCATTAATAAACAACTGATAATCTTTAAATCTTAAGACAAAAAAAAGTATTTAAGCTGTTGCTATGATGTTGCTGTTCCTATGTTGATGCCGGTTCCATGAATTTCAGAGTTTGCTAATAGTTTTTTTACATTTATTCCAGACATGACACCATTAAAGTCGGGTGAAAGGTTGCCTTTAAAATAAACAGAAGAAGGATGTTTAATAAAAAGATTTCTTTGGTTCTAATGCCCATACAGTAATGGCATAATATTATGCCTATTCAGTAATGCCAAATGACAGCTAATGACAAATTTCTTGATGTATTAAGATGAGTTTTTTCACATTAATTCCAACTATTTTTAGCATTAAAATAAAAAGAGTTATTGTTTCTCTAGGTGTTATTTATGTACGACCTGAGTTTTCCTTTTTTTCAAATTATTGGTCAGAGCTTTTAATAAGACTTTTTAATAATCTTTCAAAATTTTGATTAAACTATTGGAATATTAACATGCTCCATAGTTTAGCATAGTTTAAGTTGTATATTTTTATTTACATTTATGCAAATCTGCATAAATGCAAATAAACATAAAAGCTTCAAACTGTTTAACCTTTATAATTAAATATTAAATTAATAATTAAATATTAAAAAGTGAAAATACAGAAATGACATTCCACACAGCAACCACAAAGTAATTTTTAGATAATTAATATACAAAGTAATTTTTAAAGAATGGATTTTTCAAAAGTTAGAACAACAGATGTCATATTCAAGCAGGTAGGATAACAAGATTCATTTGAGCAATTTTAAACTTTTAGAGTAGCGAACAGAATTCTGAACAATTTTAACAAAACTATGACAGGAATATTATCTGAACAACAAGCAGCAAATGAGTTTAAAGAGAGAAATAACTTTAGCAACAGTAACTAGATCAATTTGGATGTCTAACAACAAATTAACCTGGTTCTCTGGGATGGAATATGAAGTGCATAGTGAAGTGCTTGGTCATTATATTCATGAGATAAATTTGAGGAAAAGTTTATTATAAATAGATATTATTAACTGACCGGGCGGTAAAAATACTGGCCTTTGTAAGTCTATTATACACCAGCTTTTTATATACATGTTACTTTTATATATATATATATATATATATATATATATATATATATATATATATATATATATATATATATATATATATATATATATATATATATATATATATATATATATAATTCAACGTTATATAACAAAAATATTTGTTAATCGTATTGTTTGTTGAGACTTTTTTTCTTTAATTTTTAGTTTCGTTTAGCTTTAACTTTTTTAATAAATAGGCTTTATTATAATATAAGCTAAACTAAGCTGAAAATATTTAGTTTATTAATTATATTTGACAAAAAATATTTGGTTCCAACATTTTAATGTTTTTGAATTTTAAATATAATAGTCATTAATTAATAGAATGTGATCGAACCTGTACAAAATCGAAGCTATAAGTGAAGTTTTAGTTTGATAAATTTGTTAGGTTAGATATTTATTTATAAGATATTTACAAATATTAATCATTTTATATTTATTTTATTTTACATATTTTATATGATATATATTTATAAATATTGCACTAGGTATTGAATTTTTTAACATTTAAATTTAAATCTTCATTGAAATATTGCAAGTTTTGATATTTTATTACATGGACTTTAATGCAATTCAAACTAAAAATTCTAGTTAAGGGAAGTTTTTTTTGTAGAAATGGACAGTAAAAAACTGTCCATTTGACAAAAAAAACTTCCCTTAACTAGAAAAGAGTTGGCGAATGGTTTGACCATGGTACGATTAAGCAGATAATATGATAAAGTTCAACTGGAATTAAAAAATCTATATATATGCTGAACATAGCATAGAAAGTTAAGAAATAAATCATTTTAAATTTAAACTTATGTTGCATAAATTAAAATTTAAGTACATCATGCATAAGTTATGTGTGGCCTACTTTATTACAAATATAACTTCTTTATTTAACAACATGTAAACTACTGTATAAACATATTTTGACTTCAGCAAAAAAATTTTATTAAAAATATTTTCTTTAAACTCAACTTATTTTCTCCCTTGCAAGTTTTTCAGATAAGCGCGATTTTTTACTCTTCTAATGAAATTAGCAAACTATTTGTCGCTCCTTACAAGACCATTGACAGCGTGTTTTAAGTGCACAGAGTGATTGCTACTGCTTTATCACAAGGCCTGCAGATTATGGCTATTTTTTTATAATTTCTTCAACCTTTATCTTTATTTATAGAACAAAATTATTATAAAACAAATCTTTATTTTATTTATAGAACAAAGAATTTTATGAAATTGTAAGAAAACTATGACACGGTAATTTTGTATATTATTTTTTTTTATGACATTCATAAATGTTTTTTGAATTAGTTAATTTTTTTTATTTAATAATATAAATTTAGACAATTATAAGATAAAAATTTGACATTTAGAACAAGTGGTCGAATCGAACTTGGTTCTATCACCCAACATAATATAAAACAGTTAAAAAAATTAAATTCTGTTGTTTTTCCAGTCTCATACAATGACAAAGTAAGAATTTTTAGTGTTTTTTATTGTGTATTAAGCATGTTTTAACGTCATATCTTAGTGTACCTATATATTGTTATTGTTTTACAAAGTGTTGGAAATTGTTATTGAAATTGTCCTATTCCTTCAAAGAAGAAAAAAAAGGTCATTGCATTTTGGGAATGTTAAACCCATTAGGAATTGTGCTTTATATGCTGTGCCATTGCCCTGGCTAATACCCTGATATATATAGGTACACTATAAGTACCTCTATACAAGTATATCACTATAAGTAATATATATATATATATATATATATATATATATATATATATATATATATATATATAATATATATATATATATATAGAGAGAGAGAGAGAGAGAGAGAGAGAGAGGCTTGGTCGGGAAGTGGGAGCAATCGCTCTCGATTGCTGACCACGTAAATAATATTTATTTGCGAAAAGCTGGCCAGATTTTTTAGTCATTTTGAGAACATTTTAAAAAGCAAAAAAAAAAAAAAGCGCATAAGATTAATTGGACCGATGAGAGACAATTACAAAAAAAAAAAAAAATTTGGCAAATAAAATATCTTTTAACTCGAAAAAATATAAAGCTAACTAAATCACGTTTAGAACAAATATTTTTGAAACATCGTTCTTTTATAATTTTTTTTATAAAATTAAGCGATGTTTTTTATATAAAGTAACAACTTACGATTGTTTAAAAAAGGAAACAAATGCTCTTTATTTAGCAAAGTTTGCAAGTTTTAGTTTTATTTATGCTAAATTATTTTATAAATAAAAAAGTTAATTTTTTCAATACCTATTTTATGTTTTGCGTAGTTTGAAAAGTTTAACATATTTGAAGCAATTCTTCTTAGTAAGATAAACAAATGAAATAATTAAATCATTGAATTACTATAGAAATTAAATTAACAAGATAGAAATCAACTAAAAAAGTTAAAAATACTTTATGATGAGGAAGCGAAACTGCTTCACAATATCGCTAGTGAGTGGGCTTTTGAATTTTAATTAGTATTTAAAACAGAAAAAAGTATAACGAGTTTCAAAAATGGCAACTTCAGCGAAAACAATTAGAGTTAGTAAACCAATATATAGAAACTTTTCTTTATATCTAATTATTTGCTATATATATTTGTGTTCTGTCGTGACCTCAGGGGCGGTGCTTGTTCATCCGTGAGACTTTGTATGCGTTGTTTGTGTTTAGTAACCAGAAACTTCTTATATGTTTGTTACACAATTAGTTTTATTAACTATAACGATTATAACTTCATTGAAAACGCAATTATTTTTGTAAGTCTTTATTTAAATCATAAAAATTGCTTTAAAAGATACATTACAATAAAAAACAGATACACAAAATTACATTTACATAAAGATTACATACTTTTTAAATAAAAAATAAGAATATACTAATAAAATCTATAATTTATAATAAACTTTTGAAATTTTGACAATTTAATATATATTTAAAATATTTATTTTTGTAAACAAATAATATATATTTTTAAAACATGAAAACTACAAATCTCAAAACATAACAAATCGTGAGTAATACAATTCCTAAAACATTTCAACAGAATACTCTAGAACTTTATTTCGCTAAGTCAGCGTATTTTTTGAACCAAGAGAATTGGTTTCTTTGTTAATTTGGTGGGTTTTTAGTATTCTTTCGCACAAAGATGTTTTGAGAATATTCAAGTTTATTATGTTTCCATGTATGTCCGTAAAACAAAAATTTTTTGTTTCGTACATAAACTTAAATGTTCTCAAAACGACTAAAAAACCTGGCCAGTTTTTCGCAACTAAATATAATTTCCGTGGTCTGTATTCGAGAGCGATCGCTCCCACTTCCCGACCAAGCCTGTATATATATATATATTTCTAATTTAGAAAAATAAAATTTAATATTCAAGTCCTTGCTACAGATTGTCCAGTCTTGGTCGGGAAGCGGGAACAATCGCTCTCGTATACTGAGCATGGAAATTATATTTAGTTGCGAAAAACTGGCCAGGATTTTTAGTCATTTTAAGAACATTAAAGCTTATGTACGAAACAAAAAAATTTTGTTTTACGGACATTTTTTTTTTTTTTTTTTTGTTATTCACCTCCTCAAGATCGAGAAGGCCACTACAGACGAGGAGACTACTTAATAGTGGTTATAACCCTCTCAACTCTATAACTCGGAAACACGAACCTTGACGAACAAAGCCGCTGCGCAGAGAAACAAGTTGAGCGCGGTGCTACCAGGGACGTGGTGGGGATCGAACTCGGAACCTCTCGCTTATGAAGCGAGTGTTTTACCACCACACCACTACCGCATAAACATACATGGAAACATAAAAAAATTAAATGTTCTTAAAGCATCTTGGTGATAATAAAAAGAATATTCGCGAACACTAAAAACCCGCCAAATTAACGAACCAACTAATTCTATTGGTTCAAAAAATACGCTGACTAAGCGAAATAAAGTTCTAGAGTATTCGGTTGAAATGTTTAAGAAATTGTATTCACGATTTTTACGTTTTGAGATTTCTAGCTTAAATTGTCTTAAGAATATATTATCAATATTATGGCTCATTCTCGTAGCCACATCTGCTTGCAAGTCAATAACTAAAAACTCAAAAATAAACTTGCAAATCCGTAAATCTTACAAACTATTATTTTTATTATTATTAACTATTATTATTTGTTTACAAAAATAAATGTTTTAAATATATATTACTTAAATTGTCAAAGTTTTGAAAGTTTATTATAAATTATAGATTTTATTAGTATATTCTTATTTTTTATTTAAAAAGTATGTATTTTTTTTGTAAATATAATTTTGTGTATCTGTTTTTATCGTAATGTAATTTTTTAAAGCAAATTTTATGATTTAATTTGTAAACAAAGACTTACAAAAATAATTGCATTTTCAATGAAGTTATTAATAATCATTCAAGTTAATAAAACTAATTTTGTAACAAAAATATAAGAAGTTTCTGGTTACTAAACACAAACAATTCATACAAAGTAACTCCGGATGAACAAGCACCGCGCATGAGATCACGACAGAAAACAAATATATATAGCAAGTTATTAGATATAAAGAAAAGTTTCTAGTTATTGGTTTACTAACTCTAATTTTTTTGCTTATGTTACCATACTTGAAAACTCGTTATACTTTTTTCAGCTTTAAATACTAATTAAAATTAAAAAACCCACTCACTAAACATCATCAGCGATATTGTGAAGCAGTTTTGCTTCCTCGTCGTAAAGTATTTTTAAGCTTTTTAGTTGATTTCTATCTAGTTAATTTAATTTCTATAGTAATTTAATGATTTATTTATTTTATTTATCTTACTAAGAAAAATTGTTTCAAATATGTTAAACTTTTCAAACTACGCAAAACATAAAATAGGTATTAAAAAATTTAACTTTTTTATTTATAAAATAATTTAACTTAGACAAAAATAAAACTTGCAAACTTTGTTAAATAAAGAACATTTGTTTCCTTTTTAAACAATCGTAAGATGTTACTTTATATAAAAAAACATTATTTTATAAAAAAAATTAAACAAGAGCGATGTTTCGAAAATATTTGTTTTAAATATTTGTTCTAAAGTTTTTTTGCGTTAAAAGAAATTTTTTTTTTTTTTTTTGTAATTGTTTTTCATCGGTCCAATTAATCTTGAGCGCGTTTTTTTTTTTTTTTTCCTTATTGAAATGTTCTTTAAATGACTAAAAAATCTGGCCAGCTTTTCGCAACTAATTATTATTTATGTGGTCAGCAATCGAGAATGATCGCTCCCGCTTTGTGACCAACCCTGATTGTCAACACTATCCACAGATAATTGTAATCTCCTCTCTTCAAGAACCTGGCCATCAGTTAAAAAATAATCTCTTTGATGAAGTGCTGACTGCAAGAACTCCCATAATTCTTTTTGCAATTTCAGAAAAATTCTTTCATTTTAGAGTCCTTTTTTTAAGTATAACAATATATCCACTTGCACCCCATCACAATTGGTCGAATATATATCAACCTGAAGGATATTAAACATGATGATTTTATATGATAAAAATGAAATTATTAAATTTTACTATTGTGCTGTCTGAAGATTTGGTTTTAAAATACTGCTGCAATTTTAATTTTGTTGGTAGAACTATATGAATAGTGAGTGATTGATCTTTAGAAAGACAATGTAGCCATTTTCATAGGTTCCAACACTTCCATAACATTGGTCAAGGTATTTTTGTTTAAATCAGCCACCACATTAATTTTCTATTGAAAATTTGAGCCATTTATTTTAAAACTTGCATAAGTCACCTTTTCAAAAAAAATCAAGTTGTTGATAACAATGACAACACAAAAGTATTAATACTAATAAAAATTTAGTTTAAATAGAAATATTAGTATAAGTATTTTATTTAATTAATTTATCCTGATTTACAACAAATACAAGTAAATTTTCTCAAAAGTTGGCAACAATATTTTTAAACATGTTAACACAAACCTTTAAAAATCTGTTCAAAAACAAAATGATTTTAGTATTCCAACGAGTTACTACAGTAACAAGTGTAATTAGCTCTTTTAACAATTGTTACAATTTCTTTAGAAGCTTCAATCAATTTTAGTTAACCCGTTGGACAAGATGAGATTAAGTTTGTGACTTAAACAGTCAAACCATATCTTTAAACACTACTTTTATGTTATTAGCATTATCGGTAACAAATGTTTTCTGGTTGCCAAGCATTAAATTTTTCCAAGATTCCCTGTCTCTACAATAATCTCAGCAGTATACAAGATATGATTCGATTTTTCTATCAGCCATAAACTGAACTGTTACTGCAATGTAACTGTTTGTTTATAGTTGACATGGTTCGAGCTTTGTTCATGAGTCCATAGATTGGTTGATACCAAAAAATAATACATCTATTAAAGGGACTACCAAGTCCCAAGACATGTTGTGTTCATATTAATGAGAATTTAAAAAAAAACGTCTGAGCAAATTTTTTTTG